CATTCACAGATGGACTCAGGATGTTGTTGAAGTGTTGCCATCAGGGGGATCACAAGTTATTTCTGTCTCTTGATTGTGAGAAACGATCAGTCGGCAGTGTTGTGCTCCAGTTAGCGTTTACCTACGACTTTTCAGTAAACATTGGGATCCTCTATAGGACCACAAGTGACTGTTAGTAGCCAGTCTCGATCTGGGGGATTACACAGAAAATCACGCGTTATCTTTTCAGTTTACATCGGTTTACATTAAGCTATACACAAACCTTAACGCCTATCTTAGGACTTTCAATCGAATCGTTTAAGTATAAATTTATCATCTGCTTATTATAGCGGCTTACCCTCGGGGTTATTTGATGTCTCTGTAGCGTCACTGCAAAATTATACTTTAGATATTATTATCAATTTCATACTTTTTACAATTATTTTGCAGCTTGCTTCTTCTCGATATTTAAAATCTAATTACTAGAACACGAATACTAAATATAGCCGGACCGTGACATAAAATAAAATAAGCCACGAGATATATTTTAGAGTGTTATGATTTTTAAAGCCTCACTGGAGTGTTTTTCGTCCATCACCACAGTCTTTTTTCTTCACAGCATGGGTGACTCTCTAAAGTGCCTGCTTCACATCAAAGACGACAATTTACTGAAAAGGTGACACTGATTAATGCCACCAAAACATTTCCTTTTTTTCACCTGTAGCTCCTCCTTTTAACAGCCTCCAGCCGAGTGTCTGGTGAAACAGGCGCCATAGCCTAGCTGTTATTTTTTCTGTTCATGGAGCGCCCTCTATCGACAAAGCACGAATTCACGCTGAATATTATCACTACGATAAGTCATCATTAGGTTAAATATTATCATGTAACTATGGTATAATAACCAATTCGACCTATAGGGTTTACCGCACAATTCAGACCTTAAAGCGGCTTATTATTCTTACCATGTGTCGTCGAAGTAGATTCCTAGCGGTTTCTGAGTGCGTCAACGGCGCCGAATATATTGCACATGTCCTAAAATAATACAATGAGTCAAGTTATCTTTAGGCCTAAAGTAATACATTTTAATAGCTGTCTTATTACTAGGCCAATAGAAATGTAAAGGTACTGTCTTAAAAAGACAATATTTAAAACACAATATTTACATGTAGGCCTAGTTCAACATATGTGTCTTTAAAACGTGTTTATGTCCAGCTGCCATTCTTAGGTGACCAGTGTGCGATAAAATCGTACATGTCAGTAGTAGGGGTCAACACCATGGCTAATTCTGACAGACGTTTTGATCAAAATGCAGTTTTTACCGTTAATGGAATTCACTAATGTAGCGTACATAGTTATTTTTCCTCAGTCAAAACATTTCGTCACGGACACACGTGTCTCGCTATGGACACATCTGTCAGTGTATGAACAGGATGACTATCCCCGGTTTGTATTACACAAAATGAATGTGATTTCGGCATCCAGTTTTGTTTACCCCGTAGATGGACAAATAGGGCCACCATCAGTGCCGGTCAGTAGGAGCGATGAAACAGAAGCCACAAATAACACAGTAAATCATCACTGATGCCGTTAATATAGCGGTATTTCAACAGTGCATGATATCTACAGACACTTTTATCCAAAGCGACGTACGTTTTGGGGGAAGCAGCGTCAGACGATCCCGGGAGCCACCTGGAATTAGGTGTCTTCCAATCACAGGCACAATGACAAAATAACCTACATGAGCCGTATGTACGGTACTGTGCAGCACTCTTAGGCCATCAAGGAAAATGATGCTTCAATTATATGCATGTTGGTGCAAAACTATGATTTTTTTTGTCTGTCAAAGTGCATCAGATCAACTGCTTCAAAACCTCTCCTAAAATCACCCCAGTGTTTGCAGCTACTATGAAATTCAACAATGAATTTTTTTGACCATTAGCTTACCGTGTTCGTCTAATCGACACCTCACTGTATAGTCAAAAACATTTTTTTAACTAATTACATGAATTAATTGAGCGAGCTAGTGGGGAAATGTGACAAATACATTAAATGGCTGGGGTGCCCCTGCAGAGAGCTTTGGGGACTGATTTGGTGTTGATCTAGCCATCCAGCAAGATATAAATGACTTTTGACAGAACTGAAGATATTCCTGTTAGTTTTTATTATGCTACTCTTCATTTGCATATGGTCTAATGTTAAATAGTGTTTTTGTTCTGAGCAAACATACACTTACTATCCAAATAAATAGCTTTACATAGTTCCTGCCTAAGACTTTTGCAAACTACTGTAGTTTTCTGCAAATACATTAAATTGGTTTTGAATTCTAAAATAAATGGTAATATATGTCAAGACAAACTTGTTAAACGACCTGGAAATGTCATAGTGATTTTTAATAATCATTTTAGTAGACGGATAGGGAAACGGGTAGTATGTATGTTTGACAAGATAAAGTGTAAGAATTTTAAAACAAATTGCATTTCATCCAGTAGAGGGCAGTCGTTAGCTAAGATCTCCAAACGCTTACGTCCCATTCTCCGCGATCCAGCTATTCCACTGGGGATGGGAGATGACGCTTATTTCCTTTTAGATCCGATTTGATACAACCAAGGTTGGTCTCGCCGATACGGATCCCGATGTTATAGTCTTTTGTGTGGATTAAATGGGAAATAGTGCTGAATGATATTGGGGAAAACCACAGCGTAGTATTTAAAATACACTGCCCGGCCAAAAAATAGTCGCCATTTGAATTTATATCAGCAAATATTTAGGAGCCAATGACTGGATCATTATTACAGCTCAGCAACGTTATGCAGCAATAAAGTAAAGTCAGCTGAGTACCTGAATCTCCTGAATGGCCAGGTTACACCTCCATCCATCATCAATGGATTTTTTTTTCTTCACTGTTGGCATGGGCATATTCCAGGACAAGAATGCTAAGATTCATTGGGTTCGAACTGTCAAAGAGTGGTTCAGGGAGCATGAGAAACCATTTTCACGCATGACTTGGTCACCACAGAGTTGTGACCTTAACCTCATTGAAGGTCTTTGGGATGTGCTGAAGGACTCTTTATGGAGTGGTTCAAATCACTTGTCAATACAGGATCTAGGTGAAAAATTAATGTAAATCTGGATGATAACAAAGGATGAGATGTTGCATAAGCTTGTGCAAACAATGCCATGACAAATGTGCGCCATAATCAAAGCTAATGGTGGTATTTGCAATAAATATTGTGATATTTATCAAACAAGAAAGAGTGAAAAATCGATCCAAAACAAACTAACCAAGCAGAACTTACATGCCAATTGAGTGTCAAATAAGTTGGTGGCATTGCTGTGAATTGTGGCAACAGACACAAAGCAGTGACAACAATTTTCTTTTCTTGTCGTTCGCTTTTTGCCTTCTCACTCATTTTTGTTAAATTTCAAACAACTACATCCCACTGTCTATGACTGAGTGCAACATTAGGAATAAAAATGATCATGAATGGCCCGGTGAGCGCCGAGCTTCTGCTAAAGCACCAGCGGTGAACATTCCGCTGCTTCTGTTACACCTGCACAGCCAGCATTAGCCGCATGTATAGTCAAGGCAAAACAAAACGCTCAGCTATGTTACACTTTATCGAAAGCTTTGAGGACAGATATACCATATTTTTCTTATTTTAAAAATATCACCAGGAAAACAACTAATGTTCATTGGCTCATCAATAACACCAAACAACATTATTTTCCTGGCAACAGTTTGTGGACTAATCTTAACATTAGGCCTAAACGCGCATTTTCAACCGCCCGCGTATATTGGTATTACTTAAAATGATGCCATTTTACAGTATCTCTTTTATTTGATATGGATTATGTTTAAAGCCCAATGGGTTTCCCACGAAACTGGTATAATATCTAAACAGCTATGTTGGTCAAAAAAATGGTGCTACAGTCTCCGACTCTAGGTCAGATCGTATTGAAAGTTACTAACCTGAAGCTAATCTCACTAAACAAGGTCATGGTAAACTACTGGGTTGTGGTTTGGTTAAAACCGGTGTTTTTTTTTTTTTCGTTCAGTGGAAGTGGCTCAGATTTAACGGTACGGGGCGGCCGCGTGCACTGGCGGATAAGAGCGTGCACTGGCGGATAAGAGCGTGCCCCCGTTTCAGTTTAAATCACAGAAAAATGTGCAGTAGCCTATATTTCAGTGAAGTCGAAAAACTGATATTTATCGATATCGATATTTTAAAATTTGAATCGATTCTCAATGTTAAACATTCTGATCGAAAGAATTGATATTTTAGTAGGCCTATTGATCTGCATGTCCCCGTTTTCCACCATGTGAACTGAAATAATAGCAGTGTGTGCATATTTCGGCTAAAGTAAATAATTGGAAACCTCTTATAGTGATCATAGTTATAGTGATCAACCGCTTATATGGATCAAAAAGCTTGGGATAGAATCATTCCTGTACACGGTTTAAATTATTTTCTTATAGTAATCAAGTAGTCGGCTTACAGTGTTCATTTTGGGTGCCTTTGAACATGACAACATATGGAAAAATGTAAACTACGGTAAGAAGAAAAAATAGACTATAATGATAATCTGCTTACAGTGATCAGTTTCACTCCGACAGACGTGATCACTATAAGCGGTGTACACTATTAAAATATTGTGATAATTTAATGCCTGTTCATAACTGCTTGTGTTGCTAGTGGCCAAGACAGCATATAGGTCAGCACTGCAAGAAGGAAATAAATTAAAGGTGAGAAGACCTGCTACTGCTTTTGTTTGGTGCTTAGGCAATGGTGAAACACAGCGTGTAAATGCCTCACACTAATCCAGTTACAAGGGCCTTCCATTCACATTTTCCACAAAACAAGTAAGTTCATAGGTTACATTCTTTTAGAGGTGGAAAATGGGTAATGAAAAAACTGAAATTGGACATTGGAAAATGTGTCTTGAAATGGCACACTGATGTCGTTAAGCAGAATAATGCAATTAACCACTTGAATGCAAGCGACGAGTCGGAATAACTAGAGTGAGATAAATAAGCGATTAAGGGAGAGCAGCGTGAGCGGGCGCGGTGACACGGGGTTACATGTCAGGCGGAGGGTGAGCGGCGCGCATTGGCCGTCACCGCCAGTCCCGATAACAGCGCAGCATCCTCTAGCCGCTAACACATGGAGACTGAGCGCAAAAGGACAATGAAAGAGTGCTGCGTGGTGCGTAACCGCATCTTCAGGGAGTTTCTGGCCGAATTTCTCGGAACATTTATATTAATTGTAAGTACCCCGAACCCATACATTTCTGCGGTAATGTCTGTTTTACGGAAGTCAGAGCGAAGACTGTCAGAATTACACTCAGAACTAGGTACTTTCGCGTTGCCAGCAGGTGTTTTGAAAATTGACTAAACTTTCACTCTGACTACAAAAAAATATATTTGGAAAAATTCTGATGATCGATCGTTTCCTATGTTCTTTTCACTTCTTGATCATTCCTCGTTGTCACGAAACGCAAACACTTGTAGTGAGTGGAGACACATTTAACAGGTGGTTAAGTTTGGCTTCAATTCAACTGATTTGCAAAATAGTTACATATAGGTTATTATTTTTTGAGAAATGTATTTATTGATTTTTCCAGTATTTAGCATTTATTAAAGTATTTAGACTACTTAAATACATTGAACTATATTATAACACTTTTCTTTTTTTAAATTATAGTCGCGGGCCTGAGAATTTATGAATTTATATATTGAAATGCCACCGAAGTGCTTTTTGTTTAGTTTTTAAAAATATCATAGTGACACTGAACTTTTTGACATTTATATGCAGTTTTAAACATAATCCTCATAAATGACACGTGCCCCTCCGTCCGTGACGGTAGTTTATGTCCTGCAGCAGACCTAACCATGCACTGTAACATAATAAACAGAGGTAGTATGTTGCCGAAGACACTGAGCCAGCTTTGGCACTTTGTTTAGGTTAAAATGCTGATCTGTCTGAGCTTCATCATCTTCCTTATGCATCTTTAGCCAAGTCGATGGTCTGGTTCTTTCTGGTTCTTCTCCATCACTGTCGCTATCTAAGGTGGCTTTGCAATGGTTGATATTAAAGTCTCTGGAGTTAGATATGACGCTCTGGAATGAGATCGGGTATCATGACGTGAATTGCCGGTAGCGAAAGGCAGCTCCTGCGGCTCTCCTGATTCCGTTCTGCCCCCCCGTCACAGCTGTTCGGCTGCGGCTCCGTGGCACAGACAGTGTTGAGTCGCGGTGCCCTGGGAGAGCCGCTCACCATCCACATCGGCTTCACTCTGGGAGTGATGATGGCGGTCTACGTGGCAGGAGGGGTGTCAGGTGACAGTCGCACTGCTGTTACATACATGGATCCGAGGGATCGGTCACAGCATAGACACGTACGGTTCTCCTGTTGTGTAGATGCACCACACTGCACTCTAACTGTAAAAAGTTCAGGCCAGTACAGTTTGGTGCCAAAACACCTGCTTTCCAGTGTTGCATCACACATGCATTAGCACAGAACCTGCTCACCTAGAGTGGCAGAATATTACAGAAAAAAGTAGAGAAAATCGCAGCAGGATGGATCAGTATCATAAATCAGACATACAGAATAGTAGCATGAAGATTCTGTTGTTCTCCACTGTTGTACCTTAGAGTCGGAAATCTGAATTGTTCCAGTGAAACAATGGTCAAACCTGCAGGATTCCATAGATAAATGTGACAGCATTTGACAAGAAGAAAACGTATGTTGATAGTTTGTAGGTTTGGCTGTATATAGAATGGCTACACAGCTGCTGTATACATATGATTGGACACCAGTTGAACAGAAAATCATGACATTTAAGGAAAGAGAAGACTGCCAGGCTGAAAGTGAATCTTTGCTAAGTGGGAACACTTTCATTTAGAAGGGTGGAGGAAAATGAGGGAGGAATTCTCTTCAATAGCAGGAGTTAAGCATGTTATTTACCTTCAAGGTATAAATAAGTCTTTGTGCTTATGCACAAGGACTCACAGTTCATATTTTTGCTGCTTGTAGGAGTGTTAAACACATCAGTTTGTTCAGATCTTTACCGGGTGGTGTCTTGGCGTTCATGCATCATCCATATTTCAGGGAGGAAACATGCTCTTCCAGGACGGGTTTGATGTCTGTTCTGCAGTCTGAATGAAATGTCAAGGCACCTGTAAGCTGAATGCTACACTTGTCATTAGTGCTTTAAGAGAACCACAAAGTAAACAATTGTGAAAGTGGTAACATCTCTTGCATAACCTAACAGAAAGCCGCTTAGTTCATGAAGATAATTTTTACGTGGGAGTTTGTGAGGCTGTCATGACATCATGTATGGCGGCTTTGGGTGTAGCAGGGGTGAAAGGGAAAGGATCTGCTTTTGATCCTCGTCTTTCTGAGTAAAACAGGTATGTGTTGCTTTAAGAGTCTTTCGAGACCCCGAAGTGCTCATTCCAGGAAGGCAGGGTCATCTTAGCTGGAAGTAGCACTTTCTGTGGACAGTGTAACGATGAGAAACAAGGATCGCCGACGGGGCGGGGGCGGACAGGGGCGGGGGGGGGAGCAGAGGCCGTGGAACTCATTAGGGCCATACCTGATGACTCAGTTGTGGGTTCCTGATTCTGAAGTCTTTCTTAGTAGCAGATAAACATTTATAAAGAACACAGGCTGGATTTACAGGCTCAAGAGATAGTTGATTATGACCAGAAGGACTTCATTGGATACTTTCTTCTAAGATCTCTGCAGAGAGGGACCTTCATGCTGAGTTATCAGTAAAGAATGAAGCACTGGGGATCCCTTGCACAAATTATGGGCGATTCAGTGCTGCTGTGCAGGTGGGAGGGGGCAAAGTTTAACAACAGATCAGATTACATGTTTGTTATGGATGCTTTGCATGGCTTGGAATGACTAGTCTCAGTTAAATACGCCGAGGACTTAATGCCGGTCTGTGTCAGGCACAGAAGACAGGCGATGTTCATGAGAGTTATCGTCAGACCAGATGACTTGTGCAGACGTTGAAAATACTGTTATTTGTTGTCTTTGTGTCTCTGCAGGGACACAGAAACATGTTTCTCGTATTGTGACAGGGCTGTGTAACCAGACTGTAAGCATTCATAGGGAACAAGCATGGGCTCCGTCCTTTGGAATGGGGGAAACAGGACTCCACTCCCCCCCCCCCAACGGTTAGCCCAGCCTGCATATAAACAGGTCAATAGGAATAAATCTTACATCCTACGTACAAACAAAACAATCACTATTTCATCACATTCCTGTAACCTCATTACAGCCCTTTGGAAACCTGGTCTATTTTTATCTTGATAATTTACTCAAATTGACAGGACATATTAATGCAGTCTACAGGTCATTATTCATAAGATAATGGCTAATCTAAAGTAGCTTACACTTTCACTCATTTATGCTTTTTTAATATTACTACATTCCCTTAATTATTTTAATTAGCAGCTAATAATACAACCAAATAACAGAACAACCTCAGTACTTGTCCAAAGAAATCACTGACCTGTAACATAAAATGTCTTCAGAATAACATCTTAGCATATAGCCAATCAAGTCAATGCCGTGTAGGGGCTGAATTTTAGACCATGTCTGGAGCAGATTGGGTTTGATTAGTGGACACATCATTTACTTGCTTAGTTGATACTCCCAACCAAGGGAACCTCATCATCAGTGAAATGAGTTCAGGTCTAGCACCCTTCCCTAGGGTACAACAGCAGGGCCTCCGTTCCCAGTTACAGGTCTGTCTTCTGAGGCATTTTCCTCTGGAAATGCTGCTGGGAGATGTGCACAGATGGGTCACATCACCCAATAGTGTAATTTTGTTTCCCAGAATGGGTTATGGATTACAGGCTGGCCTGTGCCTCATGTCCCAGCAGCGCCAGCCCTGAAAAGGTCACTCCTCAGCCCCCGGCTGCCGAACAAAAGGGCAGGGTGCCCGGCCAATCGCGTCCACCGCTGTTGTGTGACAGCATGCAGATCCATCGTCAGTCCGCCTCAGGGTGTGGCTCCAACGATGGCCCGTCAACAAACAAAACAGGATATGAACAGAGCTGCCTGCAGAGGCGGCTGCAGCCAGTCGGAGAGTCTGGCTCTCAGTACCATGGCACACATGCACACACAAGAAGCATCAAATTTCAATGGGCAGCGATGTATCAGAGGTGACATTCCAGCCACCCCCCCCCCCCCAGGTGCCCACATTAACCCTGCCGTGTCCCTGGCTATGGTCGTCCTGGGTCGGCTGAAACTGGTGAAGTTCCCCGTCTATGTCATGGCGCAGTTCCTGGGAGCCTTCGTTGGCGCGGCTGCTGTCTTCTGCCTGTACTACGGTGAGCGTATCCTAAATTTAGACACGGAAAGTCTTGGGGTTTAAGGGGCCATTTTTACTGACAGATTTACACGCCTTCCTGCTGTGACCTAAAATGGACTTTGTGGTTTCATATTCTTCTGCATTTACAAAAAAAGGAATGCTGTGTCTATTTTTATTCCCAGGACTTGAAACACAAACAATGGAAATATCCCTCTGACAGAATTTAAACTGATACAATCATAATTTTCATTCAAAATTTCAATATAAAATAGATGTAGCATAACAGCAAGTATAACTTACATGCAATTTTTATTTTAATTAAATTTCTTTTCACACTAAACAATCTGAACTTTTACAGAAAAATCTGCCATTGGCCATACTGGGCAATGAAATGAACTCAAAATACATCTTTTTGATTAATTTGAGAATGATTAATGCATTTAAGGTCAAAGCACATTTCCCCACACGATAACATTTTCTAAGTTGGTTACAGATCAGCCATTAGTATCACGTTGGTGATCTGCCTAATTGCAGATATAGTCACTAGCAACTGGTCCAACATGGGAAATGTTTTTGACTGCCTGTCCCTTAAACTACCGGCCAAGGGCAGAGCTGAAGGACAGCGCATTGATCATGAGTTGGCTTTGTCCAAAAGTAGCCCCTTTGGGATGAACGGAAAATAGAGGAGCATGAGATCAACACCACGATGCCTGGCTCCCTGTCTGAACCCCAGAAGCATACAGATCTTCTCAAAGACTTTTCGAGAAGGTCGGGGAACTCAGTCAAGTTAGAGCTCTTCTGTGCAATCAGAAGAACAAGTCTGTTACACAGGCTGTGAAACGGAACGCTGATCAGTTCTGAAACTGCACACCTCATTCTCCCAGATGCCTTTATGGACTTCACGAGTGGAATACTGTCAGTGACTGGCATCAACGCCACAGCACACATCTTTGCCTCCTACCCTTCTAGGCACCTCTCAATAATCAACGGATTCATTGACCAGGTGAGTGACCTGAACTGCCATCCAATGAGCCAGAACCTTGCATTACGCCATTTGTTTACGTATCGGTGTCTCACCGTTCATCTGATCATGCCATTTAAATGGGAGAGGCACCGTGTGTGTGTGTGCAGGCTACAGATTTCAACCTGAGGAATCATTAACTTCTTTTTTTTAAAGATTACTCTGTTAGTTGTTCATTCTAACACATTTACAATAATTTACAGCATTTTACTGAGTAAGCTGCACAATAAACAGGTGTCATGCAGCACCCTAATGCAGAACCCAAAAAGCAATGTCAATATTTTCCAGACCTCACCACCCTATGAATGCTCAATGCTCCCATAGTGCTAAATTAGAGCAGAGAGGAAGATCCATTACGGCCTATCCCGCATAAACTGGTTCTCGCCAGAGGAAATTAGCAATGTCCATGCTGGGAAGATTAACACCACCATTAAAGGCAGGATCCCCTTGGTATTCAAAGCAAAGGTTTGGGTTACAAAGTGCATCCTTTACTGATGTTGCTGGACACACAGAGGTCAGTGGATAGATGCGTCCCTGGTCATGTAGTGCTGGGGTCTATTGGACTGGAGGCCTTTCACAGTTATGGGCGATTTAATGGTCTTTTGTTTGTTGTTTTAGGTCACTGCTTACAGCACTGATCTGAGATCAGCAAGGCGGTCATTCTGATTCAATAAACAGATTGCTCTTCCAGCATGTGGTTAATGCTGCAGACTTTGAGCAATTTGAATTGATCGCCCTCCTTCCTAAAAGCCAATCTATTAATTAACCTGTTTTTCTATGTCCTATGGTGTCACATTGCCCCAATGTTACTAATGAGCTATGATGCATGGAAATTGGCCATCTTTGGTTGTAGTGGCCTGCTAGATGCATTGGGTTTTTTCTTCCAATTTAGCTCTAATACGTTCAGCTATAAATCTGGTACTGATTAAAATATGCTAATGTATAAAATATGCAAGAATCCAGACCCTGAAGATCAGGACAGAGCACAGTGGGTCAAAATAATTTGTCTTTGTGTTGGATACATTGCGTAGGTAACAAAGGCAAGCCTTGTTGCAACTAAAAAGCCAATGAAATAATTCCAGCGTGATGGGTTCAAATCCCACCAGCATGGAGTCATTTTCTCTGGGTAATAAGTAATGTAATGGTAGTGAACATCAAGCTGAAGGTTGCCGTTTCATGTCCCAGCTGTGGCTCTGCCTTAAGCAAGGTACTCAAACCAAACAGATCCAGCAGTATAAAGTAATAAAAATCTTTAGATAATGCTGTTCATGTTCATGGAGTTTAGCTCCGAGGACAATGATACTGCTGTAGCAGACTCCTCCTCTCCTTGCCCAGGTGTTTGGGACGGGCATCCTGGTCTTGTGCATCCTGGCCATTATCGACGGGAAGAACATTGGTGCACCCAGAGGAATGGAGCCCTTGGTCATCGGCTTGATCATCCTGGGGATTGGCGTGTCCATGGGCTTGAACTGTGGTTATCCTCTGAACCCCGCCCGCGACCTGGGCCCCAGGGTCTTCACGGCAGTGGCTGGGTGGGGCATGGAGGTGTTCAGGTAACCAATCACCGCCTTCTTTCTCTCTGAAAGCCGTTCAAACCCTTTCTTGAAGCCAGTACCCCTAATATAACTGGCTCATTACAATTTTCAGCTTTTTAAAAATGCGCACGGAATACTTCATTCCAAAAACCAAATAACGGCTGTAAATGATTCCTGTCAATTAAATGTCGACATTCATGGTCTAACAACTGAATTCTTGCTCAATGGTTTTAGGCTCAAAAGATCATTGCATGTTGGCCCTGACCCTCGAGTAAGAGATCCCTGGGTGGGACAGTCATGTTTTCGGTATCCCATAATACACTGCGACCCTGAGTTGGACACAGCTTTCTTCAAAGGAAGCTTGACCTCTTGGACAGTCAATGGCTGTGTGGTCTTTCCTGCACGAGAGGAAAAAACAGAACGTTCTGATGGTTAGACGCAATGCCCATAGCTAATAAATGGATAATGGAAAAGATATAGACCAAACCAATCCCTTCCTAATGGTATCAATCTTGCTCTCTCAGGCTGGGCAACAGGAAGTGATTAAGGGATAATAGGTTTTTAACAAGAAGCCTGATGACATGTACAACCAAGCCCCCATTTTGTTATCTCTGAAGCAAACCGAACAGCACAGAATGCAAGCAGGAACATTCTGCTTACGTACAGAAGCCTGATAACTCTGTTTGGGTCACTTATCCAAAACAAAGTCCTGATCCCCAGCTAGACTTTTAGAACGTTTATTGACCCTCTTTGATGCCAGCTGGTCAAAGGTCATCGCTAACATGTTCCACCCCCAAGACTGCGGTCATGGTCAGCATGGTAGCTGCTCACGTGCATTTACTTGTTGATTAAAGATTGACAGACAAACATTATGCAACCAATCAAATGCTCAGGTCAGCCAGAGGCGACTCAATCCCCATCCTCGTTTTCAATGTGGCTGAAGAGTCTGACAACAAACAGATGCAGAAATGGATCCTGTTTAGCACTCAGACTGTGAGTGGAGGTATTACAGGTTTTACCTTTTCCAGTCCAGTTTATTTTTAATATTAACATGCTTCCCAGCGTAGTTTCTCTGAAGCGTTTAATAATGATTAACAAGTACGGCATCATGGACAGGAATAACAATTCTTAGTACTATACAAGGGTGAAAATCAGATTTTGGCATTCACCTACCATGTTTCCCCGAAAATAAGACAGGGTCTTATATTAATTTTTGCTCCAAAAGATGCATTAGGGCTTATTTTCAGGGGATGTACTATCTTCCCATGTACAACAAACTACAGTACATTTACCGGTATTCATGAACAAAAATCCACATTTACTCAAATGCAGACATCATGTCATCTTCTAACCCTATCTTTCCATGTAAACAATCGAACGATATATTTATTTTATATTGCGAGCATCCTGAAAAATCATGCTCGGGCTTATTTTCGGGGAAACACGGTATCAGTGTAGAAAATAACTGTCTTTAAACCTTTAAATTCGAAGCTAGAATCTCACAGTTAGAAGATCATTAGATCAATCATGCACCTGTCAACTGAGAGAAATAGTCTTGGAAGGGCAGTAGACAGCTGGCTCTTAAGCTTTCACTGTTGGGACCTTTTGGACATGTGGTCACCCTGGACTCCTTTCAACAGATTAGAACTCAGTCCACCTGCCCTCATTATCCTGCCTGGTACCTTAATAACTGTAGTCAACCTGCAACAGTGTTTGTTTTTGCTCAGGCCAAGCCTCACCGGCACATCCCCCCATGCAGAGTAAAAGGTCCCTGGGTGACGTCCCGTTTCCTTAGCAGTAATGCCTGTGTCAAGAGTGCCTTAAGCACAGTGCATGTCTGAGAGTCTCAAGAAAAGTACTAATTTCTGTTCAGCATTATTACGATGGAGGATTAAATTTAGATAAATAACAGGCAAAGAAACAGATTGTCCAAAGGAGAGGAATGGACAGCACCCAACAAGGTGCCCAGAAAGACGAGACGAGAAGGACTGGAATGACCTGCTGAAATACCTTAACATCTGCAGGCAGACAGATGGCTCACTCGCTTGTGGGCCCCTTGTCCCTGCAGCACAGCAGATTACTGGTGGTGGATCCCAGTGGCGGGGCCCCTCGTCGGGGGTGTGGTGGGCGGGGCGATCTACTTCCTCTTCATCGAGCTGCACCATGAGAGTGAGCCCGTGACGGAACAGGAGGAAGAGGAAAGCAGCAGCATCCAGGACAAGTATGAGATGATCGCCGTGAGCTGAAGGAGGAACGGTGCACAATGGGGTCCTCGCTCCTGACCTCCGGTACAAAGAGACGGAACCCCCCAAGAAGGAAGGCCTCAGAAGAGCCATCAAGGAATAAGCCCCACCAAAGAGTGTGCCGATCATCCCTCCCTTTCCCACACATGTCCCTAATCCAACTGCACTCTTCCTAGGTACAGCTGTACATATGTATTTGTACTGCAATCCTACAATGACATACCAGACAACCACACGCCTTGTCACATGGCCTCCAGTACACTAATAAAGGTCATATCTAATGACTATAAATGATACTTGTATACAACTACCAGGATGATTGTTGTTGTTTAACTGATGAGAAAAGAGGTCTAGTATGACTGAAATCCTAGTTCCTGATGAGTCTTTAAGTACCAATGCAGCTGTCAGGCTAGTTTGACTATACAATGAAGCGTGCATCCAGGTTTTTAATAAAAGATGTCACCACAGAGATTGAGATATTTTTAGATGCTCCTGCTCCATCTTCAGAACATGCATATTTTAGAACTGTGTGGATGGTATTCCCTAGAATCATCCATCATCATGCCTGTTTCTAACACTCATTTCGCTTAATGCTGAATATTTTTTAGCATGTGAAGTACAGACTTACAAAAACTGACTGCTGTTGTCCATTGTAAAGTTATTTTCTTTGTCACGTCTGGCCTGTTTTGAAGGTACTGTGCCCTGCATTTCACAGTGTCAAATGGTTTTTATTGCATTATTTGTAAATACAAAGTAAAAAAAAAAAGAAAACAGTACAAAAGGACTTTGTGTGTTTTTTTCCCAATTTTGATAGCGGAGAATTTACATTTAGGAGACTTTGCTTTTCCCTGTCGAAGTGCCGATTTCCAAGCTGCAAACACAGCAATGCAGTCCAGAAAAACAGACATGATTACTGGTGCAACAGATTAAACTCTAGCATGAATTTTGGCAAATCCCTTTACCCCCAGGGCCGTTGTCAGATAGCTGGTTTATATATGGCCTAATTAAATTATCTAAGGGAGATGTGACTTTGCGATGTGTAATTAGCATAAATAGAGGAGGATGGAGGGACTCGCGGAGGTTCGCGTCACTTCGCTTTTCACTAACCCTCAGATCAGGCTGTAGACTTGAAAAATGCATAACTGATAAACATGGAGAGTATATCTTTAAAGAAAGGTTGCTTTTATGTTTGCTGGTTTTCCTAAGTGCATGAGTGTGCTTTGGGTTACTTCATTTTACTGCTCAAAATTACTTGTACCAGATACACTGCTTTCATGGATTTACACAGTAAAAGATATGCATTCTTCAGTTTTGGCAGTAAAATAATAAAATAAGTCAAATGGGAGTAGCAATGGTAACTAACAGAAATAAAATGTTTAAAAGTTATGTTTTAAATCTTCCGGCAACATTCGCTTGTTCATCTTCATTAATATCTTTAAAGTCAAGACTTCTTTTTCAGTGTCCATGACAAATTCAGAAATGCACCTTCACTCCAGCTACACAATAAGTTACTGATTAGTGCAGCGGCAGATGTGAAAATTTGACCACAGATCCTTGTTCCGTCTACCATCACTCAGCCAACTATGAAAATGAGAATTAACTCCCAACACCTTAGGAGGGAGCAGTCAGCAAAGCTGTGTAAAGCGTCATAAAATACATGAGGCATGATTCGCAGGATTCACTCACTGGAATGCACTTGTCCAGGTTACCCAGGGCTGCAGGCTGACAGGCAGTAATCTGGTGATTTGGTGCAGCCTCTCAGGCCTCCTCCAGGTCGGGAGGCTACAGACAGCTGTACGTTTTATGGCAACAGATCTACTCTTCCCACAGTCACCTGTTCATTACCAATGGACATAATGTCCTCCTGGGAAGAGCCTTGTTTGAAGACGACCAGGGCTTTCTGCTTGGGATGATAATTGGTTTGAATGTACAGAAAGTGTGAACTGTGGAATGTTATGCAATGCTGTAACGAGCACCTCATTTCACCCAGTTAAACTAGCTCCATCCACAATGGATCGGCTACTCACAGGATGGCCTTTCAGTGTCATTTAAACCAGAACCGTCTAAGCTGTGGCCATCGAACTAGAAAGTACAAGTAAATGTGCATGTAGACAAGCCTTAGCAGAGAGGCTCTGCCCAGGGAAAAACTGGGTGGAAAAATCTTTTAGCATGCTAGCATACGCAATAAAGGAAATTAAGAATAGCCAGGAGTTACAGGCAGGCCTCAAGCTAACCAAGGAGCCCTCCACACACTCGCCATTAAATGCTTAATTAGGGACTTTAATACACTGTTTAACCAGCATCAACATTTCATTCTAATGTCCTTAAGTGCTCTTTAGTACAGCTTAGGTCAGGTAAAGGCTGGCTAGAATGTTTGCGGACGTGTACAAAGACAGGTGAAGATTTGAGGTTTAATCTTTTACATATAAATGTTTGTTTTTCTCTATGATACGGAAAATGACTGAAAAAGACCGAAAATCACGCAACTGGGGGCCAACAGCAGTGTGTATGACTCAACAATTACAGCCAAACAAACAGAAATGAAATTGCAAACATATTGCCTAGATAAACAGGTACTTGTCCAAGGAAGCTGTATGAAGTTGTGATTCACAAATATCTCTCGTTCCCTCATTCTGTGAAAAGCCACTTGTAGGTCACTCCACACACTTATTCTGGCAGGAGAATTAATGAACCCAGTCAAAATAATGACCTTAGGACCTTGACATGATAATGAAATGCAGCTTAAATTCAGCTAAATCAAAACTCCACTCGAGAGTTAAGCCCCAGAACCTGATTGCCTTCCAGGATCATTTCCCTAAATTGCCAGCCTCAAGGAAGCCCCCCGTTGCCCCCGCGTCGCCCCCCAAATGTTTACAGCAAGCACCCTATTCAAATCACAGACATTCTTTTTCCAGAAAAAAAACAGCTTAAACAACCCATTAAAAGAAGCGTGGCCCGTGAATGAACAACTAAACAAAACGAACAAATATACTTTATTTGCCATTTGCACAAGTACACTGGAATGCTTCTCTTCACCTACCCCATCTTGCCCTTCATCGCTTGGGGGTCACAGCGCAGGGTCAGCTAACGTGCAGCGCCCATGGGGTGGGGGCATTAAGGGCCTTACTCAAGGGCCCATGGACATATCACTGTTCTGTAGAGGATGGGGCTCAAACCAGCAATCCTCTGATCACAGGGACAGAGACTTAGCCCACTGAGCCGCTCATTGCTACCAGGTATTTATTTACACATTCTCCCAGAGGATCATGGGAAACCATCACAGCTGGAACAATCATGATTGAGAATTGAGTGCACATTGTGCCAATAACATGCAAGAAGATTGGTCTACCAACTTGGGGGTTTGAGGAGATGAAAGCATCAACTATGTAAGCTCCAAGGGAGAAGCCAACATTGTATAGCAATCAATGGCTCAATGAGTTTGTTGCTATACCTGGCAGGTTCCAATTCTAAAGCAAATCTCTCTGCTGTGCAGCTACCAAACGAAGCCAGACTCAAGTCAACCTTAAAACCCAAAAATAAAACACAATAATCACATTTAGTCAACCACCTGGATCGCAGGGCACATCTAAGGGGATACATCAGGTCATGTGAGACATTTAATTCAGGTCCATGCTAAATCTGAGATCGATCTCCTGAACCTCACCTAAGCAGCACTAAACTGTTCCAACAAGCCATTTAAAGGCATTCAACCAAACCGAACCAGAATATAAGCTTTCACATAAATCTATTACAATAACTGAGGACATTAACATTTAATCTCTTCTGCTTGATATCAGTAATGGATCATGATAAATGTGGGTACATTGGGTGGAATGATTACTTTGCGGATATTCGGCTATTTTACAGGACTGGGGTGGTTTCATTCTGGCGAAAAACAGGATTAATAGGAGGGATGGAGGCATGACAGCTGAGGGGTGAAGAGGAGCCCATTGAATTCAAGACTCTCTCAAAACCACAGGCGACGCCTTAAGGCTCGCAGTCAAAGGAACACTCACGTCAGTGGAAAAGCATAAAATGCTGAAAGAACCTTAAAGTCACTGATCGATTACCATGCAGACTCAGTTCATTCCCCCACTGCTGTCGGCCAGCTCCAGGGTATGGAAGGCATCACCTCGCAAAAACAATTTTCATTTCTGTGTAATCATAAAATAATGGGGCCCTCTTTTCCTGCTACAGTGACAGGATTCTTTGACAGATCTCCTCAGGAAATGAGAACAAATACAGAGAACAAATAAACAGATTAGATGAAACAGAATAGATTTATATCTCTATGCCCAGAGAAGCTGCTCACGGCTCCACAGTGACGAGAAATTATTCTTAGTGATATACAAGGCAAAACTGTGACCTTATAAAGAATTCCCACACTCGAAAAAATCTGACAGGACTCAAAAATGTTAACATTCAATAGACTGAGAACAAATGCTGCATTAATTTTGTGCTTTAAAGAAAAGTTGCATTAATTTAGCACTTTAAAGAACACAGTTACAAAGCTTCCATAAAAAACTGTACAGCTCATTTAAAATAGCTATTTAAAACCAGCATACAGCTGAACATCAGCAAGATTAGTTTAGAATTGTTCATTTATAAATATTTCTGTAAAAAAATCCTCTCACTCACTCTCTCTCACACACACACAAAAGAGAAATCAGAAAGCACTCTAACTACACTGCCAGAATCCCTACAGAGGTCAGGTCAATACTAAACGTCTAAGCAGTTCTGTCCAATGTTTAAAACACACGGGTTAGCAGACCCATGGCACTAATTGGTTCATTCCAGGCAGCAGACGTTTCTCTATGGCACTAGATCAATTCCATTTACTAAGTATTGGGTGTAAACACCCCATCCATTACAACACATACAGTCAAACTTGCAGATCCTTTTACAACAAGCCTACTGTCACAATCCAGCAAGTTACAGTCTTAATCTACACTATAAAAAACGTAAAATAATTTCAAAATTAAAATAAGGCAACCATCCTTAAATCTAACTTTAATCTAACGTTACATGTATTTCATTGTTTTTCAGGCAGCTGGATATTTTATTGAGGAAAAATCAATTGCCTGGACTGTGTCGCCCCGAATCAGGCTGGGGCCCTAAGCGGGATCCTCTTCTTGGGGCCCACACCCCCAAACTCCCCACAACACCTCTCCCTGAATCCCATACAATAGTATCTCAGAAAATCTTAATTTGAACAATCAATAATGTATAAACAAAGAAGCACATATCACAAACATAACCATAGCTATTTAACAAAAGACAAAATGAAACGAATATTATTATTATTATTATTATTATTCCATGCCCCCGGCGCTGGCCATGATTTTGGGCATTATTGAATTCTACCTGAATCACTATTCTATATATTTATGAGTCCAAGCAGCATATTCAAAATATCAATGATGCTTTCTTGCCATGTCTTTCATTACGTGAGGCACGAAAAATTATGAAATACTGTGGACCCCCTCTCATGTTAACAGTGTACTTCTGTTCAGCGTCATGGCGCTTGGCGTCACTACATGCTGCCACGTGCGGCAGAAAATGCCCGACAGACACGGACTGGAGCCGCGGACACTGGCATTCCCGTTTCAGGAGATAATGTGATCGCCTCCATTTTACTAGAACTCAGGACCACATCAGAAACAGAAGCCATTCTCTCACACTAACGCTAAATAATTAGAACTGGCTCGTGCAATTCGTATTGTGAATCTTGCAACAAATGTGACGTAAGTGAAGCAGAGGGAAAGAGCTCATTTTGCTCCTTGATTTATTCAATACATTTCCTTGTTTTATTGAGGAAAAACACAGATTATGCTTAGTTGTTTTCATACCAGAGTCATGTATAAAATTCGCAATGAATATCATTCCCTAAAATACGGAACATGTAGCAGCACAGTTAGCTAGGTGACTGGAAGTTAAACCCATTTTCTAAACAGACCTGCATGTGCAGCATGAGCTGCTGCTGTATGCTTTTGTTTTCTTTCTGGGCTGACTTGAAGCATGCATCTCTCTCTCTAGTTCTCTTCTTAATCGGCCCCTCTGACTCGATTACGGGCCCCAGGCGCAGTGCATGATGTGCGTGCATGAAGAGACGGTTATTAAAAAGTTCTGTCCGTCTGCCTTCTTAAAAACCCCACTTGGATAATGATAAAAAAACACAGCCATATAAAACAAAGGGATTAAGATGATCTCCCTGGTGGTGCTCCAGTCAAATGGTGACATGGCTTATATACTACAGCAGAGGCCAGGGTAACACTGAGAGGCTCCCAAGAGCTCCCCCTGGTGGCTGAGGGTGTCTGGCCTCCTCCAACAGCATGGCCTTCTAAATGCTGGCTGTGCAGTGTCATACTCAGTAGGGCTCTGCTGCCTGTCTGGTGAAAAGAAGCAGGTGGTAAGTTACAGTGCTCTTTCCATACACAGTGGCTAATCCATCCTTTGAACAGTTTATAAGGCTTTCTACTCTCTCTACAGCCGTACGCGATTTACTCTCAACCAGCATAGACTCCTAAGATACAGGCCACCAAGCATATTGAAGGAGCTTCTATATTTTTATGCGGAGTTAATGCCAACTAAGCTGCAAGTCAAGTCAAAGTTTGCAGTGAGGGCACCGCTCAGGCAGTCTCCTCCCACTGATAGCGTGTCGCTACTCATTTGATATCCAATCCATCACAGCCTGAGCTCATCCAAGCTTCTTGCCACATATTACACTGAGACTGAGGGAGAGAGCCAGGAGCACGCAGATTCCCACTGGTCAGTCTCATAACATTCAATTTACTCTTGTGTTAATAGCAGCTGGTTTTAAAGACAGCATGCATTAGAAGGCCAGTAAAACTCTCCCCCCTACGTGCGTGTCGATGGAGAAAGATGCCCTTCAGGACTATCCCGACCCTGAGTAGTATGGTGACAGACACATGGCTGGCATGGTTCATGCTACATATTAATAGCAATGAGGAAAATTCATGCTATAAACAAAGTAATGCATGAGAATAAGAGGAGCATTTAAAATTGACAATATGCAACATAAAACACTAGTGATTTTATTGTCCTATGTGTCATGGTGAGGGTGGTGTTTAAGGAACAGAGGAATAAGACTTTGTTCACCCTCGGCGGCAAGCACCGGAAACTCATGTAGCATCCCAGAAGCCTGCGGCCACGCGCTTCAACCCCGGGGCAATTGCATGGGTATGTGCTTGACAACACACTGGCCCAAGCGTGACTTTAAAACACCACAGGCTGGTGTAGCCCCCAACACACACACACAGTGTCATACTACACCTCGCTGATCACACCTGACACAGACGATGGGGACCTGAGGGGAGCAGCCAGTCAATGAGAGCAGCTTCAGACCATCATGTTCCACAGCAGCAGGGGGGCAGCGTGGGAGAGAAAAGCAGAAGCTGCTGTGAGTTTGGCACTGCAGGGGTGATGTGAGCGTGTGCACAGGGTGGAGGGTGAAAAGTGAGACCAGCTGGAACGTGCAGCTACTGTATGCAGGTAGTTATCCATGGAAAAGGTGGAGGGTTTCTCTCTCCAAATGGTATCAGTGTACAACAGGATACTGCTGTTAATCCATTCATATAATGCAGCCATTCTCCACCTATGGGTCTCAAACCAAATTTGGGTCGTGTCAGATTGTAAATGGGTCGTGAGGCAGAGTTGGAAATGTAAGTGTTTTAAAACCAGCAAGTTGCTATGCTGATCCACGACCAGATTTCCCAGTCCTAGTGCTAGAATTAACCTATATAAACGGTTCTTGGGTCTGCAAATGCTTAGCGCAAAATTAGTGAACACTCAACCAATCCAAGAAGCCAAACCACAGATGCTTAATTTAAAATTCACTATCACATCTAATCAGATTTGTGTGATTTGCATTGTCTGGCATAAACTGCAGAGTGCACTGTGTGCTTGATCATAGTGTTAATTTAAACCTATACTTGATATAGGGTTGTGACTGAGCTGGCAGGGTAAAAATTGGGTTGCGGTGCAAAAAAAGGTTGAGAACCACTGATATAATGGAAGGGGAGATGAGCTTTAAGGATACCAAGTTGCATCACTGAGGACCCGTTGATGTAACAAATCCACCAAATGATGTATTAAACACCCAAGCCCTAGACAGAGAGGAAACATTGCAGGTGCCTGAGGAACTTCAACAGGTAATACCGGCAACTGAGATCCTGTAAATAAAACCAACGATGGAACACAAACTTACACATTTGTGTGCAGTCATCCCACCACAGAGCTGCATAAAGACGGCAATTTAAAATTATACAATACATACTCAAAAATGCATGTTTTAAATAAACTGTATTGGTTAGAATAATCAGCAGTGTCTCAAGTCTTCAATAAGCATATTAATAGAAAATCTGGATTAGAACTGTATTTTGTATAGGACAAGTGGGTACAGAGAATGGATGGATGGAATAAAAATAAAACGTTAATCTTTACATGATCCATAAGATTTTTTATTTAGCATTTTGCCCCCCCTAGTGCTGAATGTCTTCAACTGCAACCAATCGCTTTTTTTATTTTTATTTTTTTTAATGGAGGAACATCCCTTGAAACCTATTTAAAAACACCCAATTCAAAGTACTACAAAACCAAGCAATTAATCAAGTAACACTGCAACTAATATTACTGCACTGTCTCTCCACACTTGACCTGACACCGTTCAGCCCTCATTTCCCAGCTGTTCCACTAGCAACCAGCCTCCTTCCACTGTGCTGTTGACATTGAATCCTCATATTTCAGTGGAGGATCACATTGTAAAAGTCACCCTATGCACTTTGGTTAAGGCTCCCATGCCACACTTGGCCAGTCCAATCTCCTGTTTCCCCCGTCCCGGTCTCTCCATTGCTCACTCCCTCTCACTCCTGATACAGCTGGACACTATCTCTGAATCACCAACCTGAGACCAAAACAAACCATGTGCAGGAGAATGGAAAAGCCTCTCCAGGCACATCTAGCTTTGGGAAGGACCCGGGTCTTAGGGCAGGAAGCAGAAACATCCAATTTACGAGGATCCTGCCAGGAACAGTGGGAGCGCTGAGCGATGGCTGGCTGTAAACTCCACAGGGACGAGGTCCGGTGCTGCAGCTGAAGCTCAGGAACATCTCAGAACCACAGATTAAAGACGCGATTTTACTCACGCCTCCAATACTGCATACACTTTCCCTCTCACTGAATCCAGCATGGATAAGATGACCAGGAACATACCAGCACCGGTAACTTACAAAAAATTACAAAGCATTTACATATGACGAAGTGTTTAAAGAATGAAGAGTATCTAAAGAAATCCATCAACAGAATTCAACCTTTGAAGCAAACCAATTTAAATTCAGAAGCAGGGCTGTAAACACTAGGTGTACCTAGATAAAGAAGGGAGGATCTGACTGCAAGTATGCACTGATAGGGTTATCAATACCCAGTTTTCACTAATAGGACCGCTTTTAACCTGACAACTCGGTCCTACACTCATATCATTCCATATTACCATTTCTTGAACATCATTTGGAAATACAAAGATTCTTAAGAACAGTGTAGGAGGGGCAAAAAAGCCTGTCTCTCATCCAAAATAGGCTGTTTAATAACTTTTTGTAACTGAACACAAAACTTTGCTAAACATTTACATTTTGGAAAACCACGGTGGTAAAAAAAAAAAAAAAAAAAAAATGGTTGTAGATCAACCACTTAGCGACATTACATCCAACTTCCAGGAGTGATAGGGTAAGAGAATAGTTGTACGTTATTCATTAATGGAGAAAGTAGTTTTCACATATGCAATTGAGAGCAGGTTTTGGGGTCAGAGAGCAGGTCAGCCAGCGTCCAGGACCCTTGGACCAGTGGGGGTTACAGGCTTTGCTCAAGGTCCAATGGTGATATAGGATTCAAACCAAAGACCTTTCAAGCAAGGAACCTTAGCTGATTGAGCTATGCTCAACCCCACTGGTGTGGAACAGCGTAGCCCACAGTGTAACCATCAGCTACATTAAGAGACAAACTCTAACTACTTACAAAAATCAATGTGTTTAGAATTTATACTTAAACATGTACATATCCTGCAAATTAACTTTTTAGGAACATTTTATGGTTGTGACTAAAGAGAAACATAAGGCTTGCCCCCACCCTCAATTAAAATGTGGTCTGGTCCTGAAATTAAGAATGAGTAATTAGGTTCAAATACACACATTAACTGGACTGTGCACACCAATGTCTCCCAACCCCACATACACACCACGAAAGTAAATCAATGTCTTGATCAAATCTATTTTTATTAATGCATTTCAAGTACTTCAAAAAATTACATATGTCTGCACAATATCTTTTGCAATTTTTTAATAAAAAATTTTAAGGGAACAAAAAAAGAACAAAAGAAAAAGTTCTGGATACTGTATAAAACACAGCGGATGTAAAATAAGACCACAGAATTAGCCCCCCCCCCCCCCAAATATTTCCACTTGTATCACCCATCCAAAGCGAACATCTCAGTGCAAGGTTCTCTCAAGGTCTGAAACTGATTAAATATATAATATGCTTTAAAAAAATAATGACCCAAACATCGACACAGCCACGCTCCCATGAGACAGACCCTACCACAGGAAAAACGGGGGTGCACACTCACTGCGTCACAGCCGATTGGTTTTTGTAATTAACCAAACCGGCAGCTTTCATTATCAGCCACCCACCCACAAGCGCCCAAAAAGAGGATGAGTCACATTTATGTAGTCACATCACTAAAATAAGCTAGTCCAGCCCATGCTGCCATTCTCCCCCACACACACTGCGGCCATGAGGCAGCTGCAGCACACCGGCGTGACCTTCCGGAAGAGTAAAGGCCAATGGCGCCCTGTTTGCAGCGGGAAAGCCCGAGTGACCCTCGCATGGGCCGATGGCATGGCTCCCAGCCAAGCCCACAGGGTCACTTTGGAGAACTTCCTTACATGCTGGAATAGCAATTCTGGATTGCAATGGTTTACCAACTTCATAGAACATGTTATTTAAAAAATAAAGGAAAAAAAAAAAGAAAACATAAACTCTGAGCTGCCTGTTAGCACTGAGAAGAGGGACATGCTCAGTGACCATTAAAGCAGAACTGCTGGCAACCATGATTCAAAACAAGCGCTCACACAATTCAGCTTTCCTTTCAGCAGCAGAGAGAAGCCAAGATTCTTGGGCGGGACCTTGAGAAGGAGCTGGGGGTGGGTGGGGGGCAGTGGGGGTAAGATTAAGTACTGGAGCGAAGCATTGCCACTTCTGCAATCTGTTTCCTCCAAGCCTCTAGAGAGCAGGCCTGTCATAACTGATACTCAGCAGGAGGTGGATTCTGGAATTGCTGCTTCACACCCAGTTTGTCCTTGATAACTGGCTCAGAACAGGCAGTGAGTTTACACTGGGGTAGGGGGGGGGGAGACAACAGGGAGCTCTTTTAGGGCCCACTAATCAACACCATATTACCTTTTAACTAAATATACACCACATTTGGGGGGGGGGGGGGCTCCTCCAATACTGCGTCAAGGCTGCAGAGTGTGAGTTGGCACAGCAGTTGTGAGTCTTTATGCACCTGAGCACTAATACAATCAAGTGAACTGAACAAATTGCCTCCCTAATTCAACTAATTTGTTCCCCCCTGTCAGACAGCTGAAAAACCTGCACATACAGCAGCCTGGCAGAAACACAGCTGTGCGTGCAGCAGGGGTAAGCATGACCTTTACAACAACTTGCCTGATTGGTTGCCTCAGCCGCCCAGAGGGATGTCACTGGTGATTGGCTACTCTGTTCATTGTGTCGTCAAAAGGCTCAGTGGAATGACGATCAGCAGAGGTGGTCAACACGCCCATGCCACACCCAGCCCGCCCAGTACAACTCCCCTCCTTTCACACCCTCTTACATTTAGTGGTTGTTTACCAGCTAATATCACATTGTACAGAAAACTGGAAAAGTAACTCAAAAGAAGATAAATGCAACAGAATGAAAGAATGTAACCTTCGGCTAAACGCTGATGCTACTGCAGACAGCCACCTCACCCTGCATGATATACCCACCTCTGACATCTAAAACAATTTACCTTCATTCATTTATAAATCCCTCTCTGCGCCCCATGCAAAATAGCAGCTGCTAAAATAAGCCAAGTGACAAAGAAAAAGACCAACTGCTTGTGGTCAAAAAAAATTTAAAAATCCTCAGGAATTCTCTACTATGATGTCATGTTCTATTTTTCTTTGATTTTTTTCTTGAAAGTCCTGAGTGTTTAATAAAATGTTTTTTCCAAAAAGCAGAAAAGGCTCCTCATATGATACAGTGTGTAAAATTCCATATTGCGATCTCTGTACAGCTGCACACTGCGGATGCAGCCCAGACAGAAGCCTGCGCTTGTGCTCCTTTGAAGCTGCGGAGATTAAATTGGCAACGTGGTCCCTTGAACTCTGAGACTGCAGCTTCCCAGCTTGCATCGGCTGCAGAGGCCCACACATCACCTGCAGTCAGTTTCCAAAGGGGCGAGGTGGTGGCAGTGGGGGGGGGGGCATCACATGAAAAAAGAGGGGGGGAAAAAGGGAATAAAGGGAGAACGACAGAGAGAGAGAGTGCGAGAGAGAACGAGTAGAGCTAAGACTTGTCCCTGACACTGTGTTAAAAAAAGGCTGAAAAAATTAAATACACAACAGAAATCTTTAATTCCTCTCTCTGTCCGTTGTCAGATTTTAAGAAAGCCATTTGCCACTCTGAGAAAAGAGCAACATCATGAGTCCTGTTCCCCCCCCCCCCTTCCTGTATAATGGGTCTGCTTGCCAGTTTGCTCTGCAGAACGTGGGGGGTGTTTGGATCTGACTGTTACAGGTAATTCTTTGGAGTGAAGTTTTTCCCGCTGTAGGCACTAGGAACAACCAAGGCACCGGGAGGCCTAACTGCCTCAGCGTCTCATCTGGCCCATCTGGTAGTCCTCTCGGGGCTGGCGAGAGTGGCGCTGTGGCTGAGTCTGGGCCTGCTGGGCTCGCCTCCTCTTCAGCGTGCCTGTGTGAGACCAGGGGATCAGGCGCTGGCAGCGTCCGCACCGAGCTCCCTACCACCCTCACGCTTTTCCCCAACGTACAGGCTGGGGACTTCGCTCAACAAAAAACGCTCTGACCCTTCTGTCAGGTCTTACAGATTTTAAGGAAACCTTAGGACTGAAGTATGGCTGATTAATGGAGACTGTCCATCGATACCCTGTCTTCTACTGGACAGCTTTGCATCCAGAAGCGGACTAGGGACGAGGCCTGCCTTACTTGGGAGGGGCTTGGGCGGCGACAGCTTGGGGTTGCTGCTGGGGGTGTGGCCTGCCTTACCTGGGAGGGGCTTGGGGTTGCTGCTGGGGGTGTGGCCTGCCTTACCTGGGAGGGGCTTGGGCGGCGGCAGCTTGGGGTTGCTGTTGGGGGTGTGGCCTGCCTTACCTGGGAGGGGCTTGGGCGGCGGCAGCTTGGGGTTGCTGCTGGGGGTATGGCCTGCCTTACCTGGGAGGGGCTTGGGCGGCGGCAGCTTGGGGTTGCTGCTGGGGGTGTGGACGCTGCAGATCTTGATGAAGCCGGCCATCAGCAGGATGAGGGCGATGCCCATGAGCAGCACGGCCCACCAGTGTCCCTGAAAGAAACACGTCAAACACCTCCAAGGTGAAATCGCTAGAGCACAACGACTGGCAGACCTGCTTCTCCTCTGCTGCAACAAAACCACAAATGTTCTCAACAGACTTGAGTGGTTATTCTAAAGGATTTTGATATTTTTGCGAAAGGTTGAATTATGTAATGCCCAGAATATCCAAAAAAAAAAAAAAAGAGTACAAAATGGTTTACAGTCCAAGGACACTTACAACAATCCACTCGGCGATATTCTCGTAGAGCTCTGGATTCAGGAGAGCCTTCTTGAGCCTAGCAAGGGGCCCATCAGCATCCACCAGGCGGCACTTCATGAAGACGTCGCAGTAGCCCTTAAAATCATTGCAGGGTGAGCCAGGCTGCAGTGTGATGACAGTGTTATTGAAGAATTTCTTCCACCGGGTTGAAGTGGTGCTGCTGCAGGTGTCGGGGTTGGCTGTGGGGAAACGAGAGGATCAGATCATCGCAGCACCAACATGCTGACGCAAAGCGTGGAGGAGGACCCTGGGCTGGCTCACATTTCTCCATGCAGCAGACGTGGCACAGCTCGCTGTCATTCTTGCCCTCGACGCTGGCGCACGTGCAAACATCCAAGTTGTGCTTCTGGCAAATGGAGCCCGAGCAAACCTGAGGAGCAGAAGAGAGCGGCAGCAGCGTGATTTTGAGAACAGGACGCAGGAGCGGGGTAATGCGCCGACACGCGTGGTCGTACATTAATCATCAACTGTCTAGATATCCACACAAATACATATGTACACATGAATGGCCTCTACGGTCTAAATATCCATGCCCCAAAAATAGCCCCAAAAAAGGAGAACATGGAGAGTGGGTCCCTGGATCTGCCTGACATCAATCTCGGTGACAAATTTCAAACTCGGTCCTAATGGAGCCCAGCAATCACAAACCCCATTGAAGCAGACTTGTGTATCCCTATGGCAGGAAGTCAAGTTGGGCTTGGGCTCGGAGACAGGACACTGTGCGGTCTCGCCGTTGCACGAGCCCACGTGGGCGCAGTCCGACTCCTCGCGGCACTTCTCGTTGCGTCCCATGAAGGTGCAGCTGGCTGTGCAGCAGGGCCCTTGGCTGGGGCTGGAAGGGAGGAGTGGGTTACAGACATTCACATAGAGGGTGTCCTACTTTAAGCAGGCAGGTCGGAGGAATGCGCCGCAGAAATGAAGCTGGGGAACCACCTACCTGCACTGTTTGTTCGGCTTCAACTTGCACTTCTTGCCATCAGGCTGGTTGGCGTCGTAGCAACACTGGTCCTTGCACTGATCACTGTAGCCACAGTCACACTCCTCACCAACCTCCACTAGGCCATTCCCACAGATGGGCTGACCAGACTCTGCAGACAGATACACAAACTTCAGTCTAACAAGTTCACACACCACTGCTACACTGCACATAATAATAATGACAATACTCATCTTTTCTATCACACTGTCCATCCATCCAGCCCAGAGAGCACTAGGCAGATGCCATGGACGGGATGCCAGTCCATCACAGCGCATAAACATTCACGCACAGGATTACGTTACTGGATGAATATTAGCTCCAAACTCCCTTGCACATTCTCAGCTTCAGGGATGAGTACTTACCCACAAAGCAGATGTCCCTCTTCTTCTCCAGCACTTGGCTGATGTTGCGCATGCTGCAAATGGAGAACTTGTTGTTGTTGGGCCGATCCCCTGAGGTGGCTCGGGCATACATGATGAAGTTTCCACTTTCCTTCTGGTTCTGGATCTTCGACTCGCCGGGGGTGCACAACAAACCAGAGTCATGCTGAGGGGACCGCAGGGAACCAAACCACCGGTTAAGACCGAGCCCATAGGTAGCCAATGGAAAACACAGCACTCAAACTGCACCTCCTGTGAATTACTTGACCCCATAAACGCTGAAGGGTGAAGGGAGAGCCTTTGGCCCAGGATCTTACCGGAGAGCCGAAGTTGTGGCCTATCTCGTGGGCGAAGGTGATGTGGGAGACCTTGGGTGGGACGTGGGAAGCATAATTCTGAACGGTGATGATGCCTGTGTTCAGGGACTTCCTCTTCCCATCGGAATACGGTTTGTTCTTCTCACAAATGCCACCTGAGCTCCCTGCAGGCACCAGAACACGGTCACTCGCAGTTGTTTGCAAACCAAAGAAAATGTTTACCGAACCCACACAGCTACAGACTGTCTACCAGGGTCATTTTTGGCAGTGGACAGAGTAGCTTAACCTTGTTTTACTGTTGAAAAAACAAACGCCTCTTGTGCTGCCATGGTTTCCAAGAAGGTGTCGATTTGTTTGGAAATGAGATCTGAGTGCTAGCATTGTTTTGTGGCCAAACATATTAAAACAGGACAGAACATTCCAGTTAATGGTCACAGTCAGGGCTTGTGTCAGGGACAGGAGGCAAACAGAACTAAACTGAAGAGATTCTTTGAACATGATGGATGGGCAGAGGAAGCCAGGGCAGGCTGGGAGATGGGCCGGAAGTGCACTGACACACGTGGCCACAAAGCGAACGCCACACAAGGACACCCTGTAAAAAGATTAAGACAAAGACCCACTGCATAGGTATGCAGATGCATTCCTACACCCAGCCTGCTACTTACCCAACCTTGTATCTGATCCAGGATGAATTTCTAATCTTGGGTTTGCCGTGTAATTGTGAGTTAAGCTCCACAGCAGATAGTTTTCCATTGTTGTGTTTAGCTTCTGATTTGCTTTTCCCTTTTGACACCACATGAGTTTACAAAGAGATCTCCAACTTGTACTCAGAGCTAGCAGGCTCATACCGAATGTGACCCTGTCCCTTTAAGGGCGGCCCTAATTATGAAATGCTAAACTGGCAAGCACTTACTTCGTGCTAATCTGTGGATTATTTTTACTGGTCCGCTCAAATTGTCACACACAGGGACAGGAAGTAATACGTGACTCGAGTGCAGTGATGCCACAAAATTAAGCTTAAAGGGAGACCAGTCTGGGTACACAGTGGCTCCTGAGAGACTGAGAAGAAATAAGGAACACACACAGCATTGTGGTTCATGGTGATAATGATGTCAAGAGGGGACTTCATTAGAGTCTACAGTCTGCTCAAGGCTCAGACTCCACACTGCTTAAGCATTAACAATAAGGCTTCCTAACAGTGAGACAGACACAGACCTCACCCTTCACCAGCCTCGCTCATCACCATGCAAAGCATCACTCTGCCTCAGTTCCTTATAATCACATACACAGCTGCCTTTTGACACCATGTTAAATCGCGCCATGTTACACCTCTCCGTGCAGCGAGTGGGAGATGCTGTCTGGAAGCCAGCAGACACATCTGGGGGTGATTTCTCAAATTCAACATCAGGACCATTAGCCAGGCTTGGCTGGAGGTTCCTGCTCTCTGGTGCTATCAGTCCACCCAGGTCGATACCAGAAGGGAGATTTGCTGCGAAAGCCCTCCCTGGACATGCTCTCGTTCGATCGACTGACAGACGGCATGCAAAGATGCAAAGTCTCTCTCTCTCTGCCCCTGAGAGGCAGAAGGAGTGCAAGGCCTGAACAAGCTCCTCAGCAACACCAGCGACGCCAACAAGGATCATGGGACGGATGTACAGCATAACCAGAGACAGCAAGTTTTTGGTTTGATCCCTGGGTAAGCATGGGATAGCTACCCACTGACCAACCTGCCCACCTGGGCCCATCATCGCTCTGCTGAAGATCTGATCTAACAAGAGGGATCAAAAAGAAAAACTCCCCTCCATAAAGGGTCATTTGTACAGGCAGATACAGGGCCTGAACTACCATCTTAAACTGGAACAGGGGGTTCCATACAGTCGTGTTGCACTTCTGTGTAACAGCAATAGTTTAATACGTCATAAACTAAGGCCCACTGCACTTGCCATTTACGTTCTCAGTTCATGCTCCTTGCTGTTTTCCACCTAACCTGTAAGCCTCCAGAGAACAATGTGAATCAAATTAAGTATGTACAGTGGAGTGAGACACACCCCAAAGAGGAAGAACTGCCGTGGGGATCAACGTTCAGATGTACATTAATCTGAAAGCCACAGAGAGACGAGGCTTGGAAAAGCGGAGATGGAGATTTCACAGGGTCAAAGAGCCCAGAAGAGCTGACTGAGACAGAAATCCCACAGGAGGCCAGTTTGCCGGGATTAACAGAGACATTAAAGCCAACCAGCGAGGCTGCTGCTCTCAGGATCATAATGTGCTTATATTTAGTTGCTTAGCTAACACTTACCCGAAGGAACCTGAGATTATTACATGTTTTGGCAGCTGATATTTTACAGGAGCAATTCAGGTTAAGCAGCTTACGTAGGGTAGCAGAAAAGGGCGACAGGGACTTGGACAGTCAGCCCTGTTTGTAACCATATGCTACCAAAGATCCCTGAAGTTCAACAGGTTGCAGCCAAGAGGACATTTCTTGGATTTTACAACAGTTTACACCAAGAAACACTAGTAGCAACATAGGCATCCAATAATGACCACAAAGGTCCCAGAGGGTACGGTTCCCAGGTATGTTGATACCTGCTGGGGCCCCCACCCATGCCAGGCCCAGCACCCCATCGTCAAAGTCGCGGTCTGTGAAGACATAGGCCAGGCAGTAGTCATCATGGTTCTGTTCAGAGTTCAACTCAAGGAACTTCTCCACCCCAATGTTGGGGAAGCGGAAGGGGTTGCTTGAGTCCGTCATGTCGTCTGTGGTGTTGATCTGAAAAAGTACAAGAGACTTCAGTACCTGCAGGACCCAGGATCACAGCGAGCCAGTTTGAATCATCCAGCTACAAGGTCATACAATCAGACGCTTCCAAAGAGGTCTGCGGCCGCGAATCGCACAAAGGAATGCGCTGCACTGCTCACACACTCACCCGGATCCTCTTAACCATGAAACTGATGTTGCGAATGCCCAGAAAGTCTGTGCTCTGGTATATGGAGTCAACTGCCTTCACATGGCTGGAGATCTGGAACAGGAGTGATTAGACTTACAAAAAACAAGGGCATGTACTTCACTCACACAAGCATGGAGTATGACACAAAATAATACCAAAAGGTAACCTCGTGTCACTATCAAAAAGACATTTTAAAAAAAGATCAGTTAAGATGAACTAGCACCTTTTCTCTAGCTACCTGCAAATCATATTTTTTGCTGAGTGAGAATGGCGCAGCGGTCAACTTTTCTCCATGTTTCCATAAATCATCCGTGAAAAGCGACCCGGACGGCCTGGCAGAAAGCCCGCCTGCTCCCAGGACCCAAGCAAAGGCTCCACTCTGGCACCTAAATTATATACGGCCTGCTAATGACTCCAATTATCCTGCCATTTCTCTCCTCGGAAAGTGCTGCCCACTGCGTACCGATGAAACGGGAGATTTATCGGTGCAGAGGAAAGCAAAGGGAACGTCACAGCCCATTGGTCACTGGGTACGGGGAGCTTCCGGCACCCAACCTGGCCCGGGTTTTGAGAGGTCCCAGTATGTGTCCCTCACAGCCTGGAAACATGCCCCATGCTATCTATTCCTGATGATATTTTAGCCCTCCCCCTACCTTACGAACACGTTCCCAGTGTCAGACGCAGACACTCTTGTTTTAATGACGCCTCCATCTCTGGACCCACTTCTGCTGAGCACAGATCTTCGACATGTCATTCATTAGCCATTGAAGCTCTGAGTCGGCCAAGTGCAGCATATGGAAATAGATTAAAGCCACAGACGAATGTGCATATATGCGCACAAATGTGCATACATTATTAATGTCTTCACATAAAGAGACTAGCTGTTTCCTGAAGAGGTGGAAACTAGTGCTGCACAATTAATCAAATAAAAATCAAAATTGCGATATATAGTCCCATGCTCTTACCCAACTGCGAAGGGTTGCGATTTATTACTGGTAATTTTCACACTGTGGCTCCAGTCATTGCACAAATTCATATAGAGCTTTGCCTGAAGTATCTGGAACAGGACCGATACGCATGAGAAACTCATGCTAAAACTCTCCAATCAGGGTCCTCACTCGTCAGCGCATCATTTGTCGTGAAATAGTGGCACTTTGGAGACGACAAAAGACTAATCAGCTGCTTTTTGAATACTAATATGAATAGAGCAGAGGAGAGGGAAGATTGGTACAGAAAAAAAAATCCCTTCTGTAATTTGGAAGTACTTTGGATTTATAAGCAGTGACACTGCTCAGATGGAGGTATTGCCGTGCAACGTGAAAGTGCATAAAGTGCATACACTGCGTGGAAACACAACTAACTTACATCAACATCTTAGACAACGTTCAGAATGATGCAACAAATGTCACGCAAAATTTAAAAACTCAAGTGAAAATGTTACATTAAAAAATCTGGCTGGGCAATCGCGAAAAAACAATTACGATGCCTTTGCAAGGGTCACGCTTGCATTTACCTGTATTTGTTGTAATTGAAAATCAGTATATAGTATTTTTGCTTGGACCAAAACTAATAATAATAATAAATACAAATAAATAAATAATAATTAGTTTGTTGTTTTTTTTTTAATAACTTGGAGTTGCTAAATATACATTGGAGACACCGATTTACTGAGTCGGCCAAGTGCAGCATATGGAAATAGATTTTATATATTACAGTTTACATTGCATGTGTCAAAGTAATCGCAATGTGATATTGTGATCAAATGGTGCAGCCCTGGTAGAAATGTACCTGTGCAATCACAGCTTCTCTGGTGCCGTAGCGCTTGTAGAAGAGGTGGTCTGTCTGGATGAAGAGCTGGCAGGTGTTCTTCTGTACCTGTGCAGCTCGCTTCTTTCTCAGGATCACTGGCCCGTCAGCACGCTCCTCGTCTTCCACATTCTGGTGGGTCCCCTGCAGGGAGCGATGTTAACCAAAGGGGCTTCAGTGCCCCAGAACAACGCAGAGCCTAAATGGCGTGTGAATCCTGAGAACTGGCTGCTTTGAGACAGTGTGTGTTGGGGCAGTAGCAACACCACTTGCAGCTGGAAAGCTCTCGTTTGTGGAGCACTGTGGTGCCAAGCTTAATTCAAGCAGACAGCCGCAGCAGCCAGACATTATGCTGGAAAGGCCCAAGACACTCGACTGTAATCTGTTTACCCATCGCATACATTCATCTATTCTGACACTTCTCAGCAACGACCGCCAGTTATTAAAAAAGCCACCTGCTGCAGCCCAGAATTAAATGAAGATACTGCCCAAAATCACTGCAAATCACACTGAAATGCATTATAATCCAAACACAGGAGAAGGAAAACCTGACTACCCTTATCTGGCTGGTCTCCTCACTCCTGGGTTACTTACATCATTCACCGTAGAACTACAGACTTCCTTTCAGAGTGACAACTTAAGATATAAATGTAGCGATGCGCCGCGTGATCGCGCTGTGAGGCAGAAGGCAGAGCGCTGACATTCCTGCATGTCCTGTTTCATGTTTGCATTTGCTATCTGTGCTTCTCCCTGTGGTGGCTGACAGATAAGCCTGGGAGGGATCGGGCTGGGAAAAGAAGCTTGTTTCCTGCTCTCTTTTGCACCTGAGTAAAGAGCCTAGGAGCAGCTACAGAGGAAATTGGGGGAGATGTGGGAAATATTCCCTAGGGGGTTGGTAATGAAAGTTTAACTGGAAGCGAGGAGAACACAGATGTACAATTCGATTTCTTGTACAGTAAAAAAGCCTCCATTTTTCAGGATGGGAAAAAATTAAGAAAGGTTGTGAGAGTCTCCATCAAGAGGGACGGGCAAACCAGAGGACACCAGGTCACCAGCTAAAACCTGGCCGGGCAACAGAGTCCCAGATGCAGTAAAAGAAGGGCTATCAGTACACAAACGTGCAGGGATGCCCTTCTTCAAAGGGAAAGAACACTCAAAATTCAGAGGATGATGCTATTCTATTGTGTCAACGCTGCACTAGTGACTGTTACAGTAAACATGTTGCAGCTCAGCTGTAAAATAAGCGCAGTGTATATGCATATGAATATGTATACGGTAGCTGAGAGGGTATTAAAAACACACAGGGTAAGTCTCACCTTGGCTGGCTCCTCTACTGCAGACTGCTGGTACTTTTTCATCCTCTCAAAGACAGAGTGGTCCGCACAGCCTCCTTCGGCCCCGTACTTGTGAGGGTAATCTGTAGGGCACCCAGCAAACCTCCATTTACAACCATCATCCCCAGGTCCCAATTTCAGGTCGATCAGGCACAGACCATATACTGGTCTGTTTATTAGCCCTCATTACCACCTCTGAAGACCTTACACCTTAAGGTGCATGTAAAACAGACTTGTAAGGATGTGCTGGCTAACACTCTCTACCCGGATAAGCCTTCAGGCCATTGGTCAGAGGTTGGGGTCACAAACAAGCGACATGTCACCGGCAGGTGTGACAAGAGCTGGCTAGGAAAGAGCATGGTCTACCCAGGTGACGTCATCAAGCAACCAAGCGGCTTTGAAACTGAGGACCTCAATGGGCCACATGCAGCGACCCTCATGTCTGTGGGAACGCACTAATGCAAACAGGGCTTCAGCTCACTACACCTGCAATCGCCATGTTCATAACTGGACGGCTTCACAAACTCTCCATCCTTCATAATAAGAGCAACTGTTTCCAGGTTTATCGATGGTGAGGGGCCTGATTTACCTCAGCTAGGCAAAGCTGAAATGAAGCCGAACTAGACTTGGGCAGTATGGCGGTATTACGGTATACCATGGTATTTAGAAATCCCAAAGGTTTATTTTTAATGATATCAAAAATACAGACGTTCCTGTTTCTATTCAACTGAGGCATGTATTGTAGTGCACAGCACATACCACCAGAGGTCAATCTCCTGGTGAGATAGATGGCAATTGAGAGTGGTAGCAACAACACAGGATTAGGGTAAAAAAAAAAAACAGAAAGATAAAAAGCGGTGTTCATTCCATTACTTTAATTTTAGATGGCTAACATAATTTGTAGATAACTTAGATTACATGCTACTGTTAGTAAACCGGTTAATTACATTTCCCAGAGGGAGGTTACCGGGCATGCTGTGCGACAACCATGAAGTGGAGTGGTGTCCATAAAGGATGGGTGATATTTTAAACTCTTCACCATCGTGGTCGTGTTTCCCTAGCGCTCGGCTTCCACACTGATGAGTCCGTTCAGGCTCTCCTTGATTGCGGAGTTTACATGACTTTTTTTTTTTGTTTTTGTTTTAATACCATCATATACTGTACACCAGCGTGAAATGTCTAGAAGTTATGACTATGAAAAAACAGATACCGGCCAAGCCTAAGCAGAAAATCTGGTGAATATCTGAGCGGAGCTTTAATTGCCTTACAAAGCCTTAGAAACCCAGTTGAGACAGAGACGCCTCTAATTTGTGTTTTTAAATCACAGCAGGGGAGGCTGAGAACCGGCTCCGGCTCCATTACAAGCGTTTACTCACTGAACAATTTACACTGTGACATTTTTTGAGTTTACATATTTGCATAATGTACATTTACAGGCCTCTGTCGTTTTTCCCCAGCTCATTATGGCTGCCACTTAAAATCCGTATGGTAGTTGACATTTTCTAGGCTACAGGCACCAGGCAGATTCTGGTACACAGACACAATGAGCGACGCAGTGCTAGTGACCCCCACACCATCACGTCCAGCTGAGGAGCTACCCTGAACACCAATAGCCGCAAAGCTCGAAGAGTAGTAACAGACTGAGGCCTCATCACGACCCCCTCCCTCCACTGGAAGGCCCTTTATTAAGGGCAGACTTTGGTTACTGATATTCTGCTTGAGCGGCCCCCAATTCATGCCTCAGCACACAAACGAGCGCTGGCCTGCATGCCAAGCAGTCCGTCATTTATAACAGCACGGCGACTCCAGCGCTGGCTGTTAGTGTCTCACCTACACAAACCAGCATAGCCACCCAGAGCCCCCTCCAAAGGTCACGCTTGTTGTCAGTCACACCACATAGCTTCCACCCAAGCACACACTTAATCACTGAACTCTGAGGATTCCATCCAGTAAAACTGTAAAGCAGAACAGAAGTACCCTGGGGCTCCTGTAGGGGGCAGTACATCCTGCATTTCATGCCAGCCTTCAAAGGAATCACTTATATAGATTTTTTGTTTTGCTCTAGATGCAGAAAATAAACTGCATTCCCTTCAGATTTGTGGAATACAGCTTTATATTTACACATAGTTAAAAAAAATATTCTTTTCTTCCCTGCCAAAGCAATACCCATCCCTCTCTTGAGAGCTGGCTGACTTATCAGAAACTAAGGATGCTGGTTGTAAGGCATATATGCACATAGACTCTGGGTTGTAGAATGAGTCAGGGATCACACAGCTGGGAAGCAGCCCCTCCTAGACCGAGGCAGGCCAATGGTGCCAGGAAGTGGATCTCACTCCCTCCCAGATGATCAGCACCAGGCGAGTTTGCAGCCACAAAGCAGGAGCAGGCTGCTCCCGGATGCATCGGATGGCAGTTACATCGTCCAATCAGAAGGATAGGCTTTGTCACTCGGTGTCACGCCTGCATACCACTTCTTGGCAGTGGCTCTCCCCAAAGCGAAATACCGCGACCGGCTTTTCGTAAAGCCGAACACGCATCATCCACACTGAAGGAAGCGAGGCAGCCTGCGTGAAGCAGGCGGGCCGCGGACCATCAGAGGCCAGCGACACACGGACGGACCACCATACGCACACAGCCGCTCTTTGTTTGCCGGCTACAAAGGAGCTACATTGAGATGCTAATCGCAGGCAGTTTAGGGTCAAAATCAAAAAGAGGAATAAAGAGTGAACAACTGAAAGTGAAACAGTGGCATCTGTCGCTGCCTGCCAGCCATCGATGGTTGCTGGTTTTTCCTCACACCCCCTTCAGACCCCTTCCATCATGTTTTCCATGGACCTCCGATGAGCTATGGGCCTAAAAATCAGTCTCCAGGCATCTACACTTTTGTGAAAAATAAATTTAATGAGCAACGGGGGCTGTTTTGAGCTACCACAATAATCATGATAGTGTGCGCAACAGAGATCAGTCTAAGTCACAAGCCAGTAATTTAATACTGAAGGACAGTAAAACCTTCAAAAAAGAAGTTGGTAACGTTTCAATGGAATGAAATAAATGGTTTTCTAGTAATGCGATGGTTTTCTTCTGCACAGAGGTAGCACTGTTGTTCTGCTCTGGCCAATGATCAAAGAGAGTGTATTAAAGAACAAAGGAATTAATGTCAAAGAGCTGCATAACTGCATTGACAAGGAAATATTCTGCCCGCCACAAGATGGCGCAATAGGGTGTACAGCAACTGGGCTGAGGGAATATTCAAGGTGGGGAAGGAAATATTGTATAAGCATCACTGCATTGACCACCTGAATGGATACCCCACCCAATCAAATTTCCTGTATCACTATTCAAATCAGTAAAAAAGAGGCAGGAACTTCAATTCATAAGGACATAGTTAGGCTACATACAGGCAGTCCCCAGGTTACAAACGAGATCCTTTCCGTAAGTCTGTCTTTAAATCGAATCTGTGGGTACATACAGTTCTTACTTGGGGTCAGTTAGTCAAATGTTTGTCTTAGTATACAGTTTATATGTTACCTTTCTATCCCCATAAAACACGTAAAGACTTCCATGTGCATTACATCTTAAATATAATAACGATAAATAGTAATAAATAATAATAATTAATACAGCAATAAATCAAACTACATACTGTACCTCGAGCCAACGAACCGAAAGAGTGTGTGCGGTCGTTATTACGAACCATCGTCTTTATCTCAAATTTTTAAGAAAAGTTACAGAGCGAGGGAGACAGCTAAAATAATCCCTTGTTTTTAGTGTTTGTAATGGGCTAAGCGAGGCGCTAATTACAGCGATGCAAGCGCAGAGGTGGCCATTATGTGCTGCTGAAGAGCACACTCCACCCAGCAGGGCATCTCACAATGCAAACGGGACAGAAGGGGAGGACTGCTGCTGACATTAGGGGCACATTCATCACAGACTGTCAGACGGAGAATAGTGAGGAAGCCATGAGGGCCCCGCGGGACCCAAGGAGACGGCCCCTGGAGGGCCCCGGATCCACAGCAGCACGGTGGACGGAACCAAGAAAGCTCAGCTGCCTTCATAAAGGTCCAATTCACCTCACACACAGCAAGTGTGGCTCAAACAGGCGGGCCAAAAGAGACGTTCCTACCCAATACTTCACTCAGCTGAACGGGACACTTCTCTCCGTTCAGGCAAATGAAGACATGCCTTCAGACTCTGGTGGTTAAAAGGACAAACTGCATCCTTAAGGAGTAACCAGGCAGAATGTAAATTGCAGACCATCATGGCATATAGATATTACTACACACTGCTATTGGCTGGGAGGGGGGCAGGTGGATCAGAACATCATGTACATCATAGGTCACGAAGGACACTTACTCTCTACAGCTAGCTGGGAGTCAAACAGAGCATCACCCAGCCCCAGTGTGGCCATGCAGCAGGCAGACAGCCATCCCTGCTCCTAAGCTGCTTCCCCACTGAGCCAATAAGCACGGCTCCTGACGCCACAGCCCCTCCCCCCCCCCCACAAAGGTTGAGGCACCTAGGTGACGCGCATAAACCCGAGGAACAGGAGGCGAGGGGATGACTCACACCGACTAATGAAGACATGCTAAAAGGAAGGGATTCAGCCAACACTCTCAACAATACAGGTCTGACAAGTGAGCAACAAAAAAAGCTGAATACGGAAGAGCAGGTAGATTCGCAGAAAAGACAAAATCTAAGGTCGTTCACTTTCTAAATGGTCTGTTTCTCTCCACTGAGAGGAAAGAATGTGGTTTTAATAACCTCTCAGGATCACAGGCATCTACACTGTCACTTTCAGCCACTCGGGTTTTTGCTCTCTGGAGACAGACTTACGGATGTCCTCTTCGTGGTAGATGACTGAGTGGTAGGGAACGTTCCGGTCCCCGAGGTAGCGATCAGCAGGCTCCACGTAATACGTGCCACGGTGGGTCCGGATGAAGCCCTCGAACTTCCCGTCCACAATGGAGCCATGGGTCAGGGTGCCCTTTTCACCTGTGGGATGACAGAAGTTCAGATGAAGTCGGCATTAGCAAAAGAAGCTGTTCTGCGCAGAAAAGCAGATGTGCGGACAGACGGCACTGTGTCCAAAGCGACCGGCGGATGGTAAGAAGCAAAGCTCGCTCTTCACCTTTTTCACAAAAGCTCCCCAAAGCCGCTCCCCATTAACCTTCCGGCTAATAATAATTGCTTTTTTAATAAGGCACAGACTTGAATAATGTCAAGGATAATCAAAGTATTGCAGGCCACTGAAAATACAAAGGTCCCTTTACTGTAGAATGCGACACTCTAAATGAAACTAGGATTTAAAAGTGGTTGAATAAGTCAAGTGCATTTTACACGCAAAAGGACATTTTAAACACAAAAGACCCTTACAGAAGTCACAATGATGCTACCTGAAGAGCAGCTATGAGAGGACAGTGGGGGGTGGGGGGGGGGACCCAAAACCAGGCCCTGGGAGCCACACCCATGATGGAAAGACAGAGCACCTGCTTCCAGCGGGACTGAGCTCAGCCACTGCTGGGTGCTTCAGCTGCAGAGCTTCATCTCCTGCGAGAGCCACCATTTCATTTTACTGGGAGAACATATGGGCAAAGAAGGACTCCAACTAACCGAAACAAACGACAGATTCTTCAGCGTCCAATAAAAGTGAATGAGAGACCAGAGTTAGCATCCCACTGCTGCCCAGTTGTAGGCAGGTCTTTCAGATAAGTTCAGCAATTTGTAACCCGAGGTAGCTGTGAGACCATGGCCTGGCCCTGCCTGTCCGGAAGGGCAGCCCACCGACGTACAGCAGTAGCAGTGCAACACAAAGGAACAAAGCAGTACTGTGTTTACTGTACTGCTTATTTCACTGTGCAACTGCATTGTGTATTCATTGCACCCAGTGCCAAATTTGAATATTTCCTACCAATTGTATTTCGTGCATTAGTTGTTCTTCTATGGAGGGGGGGGCACAAAGAAATTTGAACAACAGAAGGAGGAAAAAAAACTATTTTTCAGTCAGATATGCATAATTAATCTTAGCCCTTTTTCTTTTGGATTTCACTACTGTTCTAGTCTTGGGGGTGGACGCACATGCACAAATAATTATGGATTTTTTTCTACAGATCAGCTGTGGTAGGAATTGGACAAAAATCCGCAAAAAGGAGTGAGGTCATAAATGTAACTAGATCTACAAATGGACGGGAAGTGATACACAAATGTGCAAAACCCTTTTCACGTGTACAAATTGCTCTGTATTTTTGTGGATACAAGTTCACACAAAACAAATTTTAAAATACATATTTGTGGATAGTTAATTTGTGGATCATCGTACATATTTGTGGATTGTCTTCTGTGGGTTACAAGTAATAAATTCCAATAAAAACTTTCATACAATACATATTCCAAGTGCCATATCCCATGAGGCATGTAACCTTCCCAACATCCAAATGAAGAAAAAAAGTTGCTGTTAACAGTGTGTTTTGTGACACCACAAAATAAACGACAGAGCATGATAAGAAACGATAGACGTTTTTATTTCGTTATTATATTTTGTGTTATTTCGAAACATATTGTCATTTCGCACAACCCTACAGACAGATATTGCTTGTTGGGGGATCTGCCTGAAACAGAAGACATTCCCATGAAAGCCCCTGGGTGCCTGAGTGTGTTTCAGGACATACAGAGGTATTGAGGCCAACAGGGCGGTAATACTGCTTGCAGGTTTCAGGCACTTAGCTGACAGCTCTACTTACCTATACAAGCTGCTGTCTTTTTAATATTTTTAAAAATAAACATAAAACTCAGCAACTGAATGGAGTCACCAGTAAATGTTGTTGCCCTTCAACATCATTCATCCCAACAATCATATTAATGACAATAAAAGCCACTTCATTTTAAATGAAGGTTTTGATTAAGTTCCATTTATTTCTGCTCTCACTGGAACCTGGACAGTTCAATCACCTCTAGAAGACTAAAGCACAGTTCATATTTCACTTTTTCATGTCCAAGTATGGTCCACCTGGTCATAGTCAAAGTCTCTTGTGTAGTGCTGCCGCGATTAGTCTACTGTACGTAGTTGATGAGCACCTGAAGAGAAAACACAGGCGCCAGGAAAGGCAAAACCACCGTGTTGTCTATTCATGTTTATTAAATTAATATTAATACTGAGAGTTTAATATCTTTTGTTCTTTAAGCCGCTAAATACACGCTTATCGCTTCCATGATTCACCAAAACAGTAGCATGGGTTTAATAAGCATAAGGATACAGTGAACTCATACAGATTACTAACTTCTGGGCATCACAACACGCATCTCATTAATACTACGGACAAACGAATTTGCTTATTGAAATGTGCGCAAAAATAATAATAATAAAGCTGGGGTCCATTATCTAAAGCCCTGCAATAACAGTTTGTTGTCATTATAATATTAAAGGATCTACTTGACTTTCTGGAGGAAAATTAATCATTTAGATTAATCGACCAATCGGTAAAATAGTCAATAGATTAATTGATAGAAAAATAGTTGTTAGTGGCAGTCCTACTTAGGCAAAGGATCACAGTGGTTTAAGCAAGACTATTATGCCATAATCCGCATAGAACATTTTAACAAAACCTCTCATTTAGTGCAATCCCTATAGCATAACACCCAGAAACCAGAAATGCCAGGAGATACCAGTGAGACACACTGCCCTGAGCAAAAACAACCTTCATGTTAGGTCATTCAGCAATAGCAAACATTTCCAGGTGATGGCTAATCAATCTGCTACGGCATTACTGTCTGAAGTAGCTTGTCCATGATACATGAGGCTGGGCATCTGTAATTTTTAACTGTGTGCCAGTAAAATGCCCAATGCCCACCCAACAGAGAAAGCGCTGCTCCTTATCTGGTGTTCCAGCAAGCCCCATGAGGCAGAGCGAGGCCAAGGGAGGCTAACACAGGCCAACTGGAGGAACTTTATCTGAAACTAAAGGCCAGTCTGCACTTCATTTTAATCACTGTTTGCTTCGCCTTTGTACCAGAGTTGGAGGCTGCCTCTGCAGAGATAAAGTCATCGACTCTTTGGATAGGACAGTTCTGATCCTGTGCTGAGCCCAAAGGTGTCAGCATGGATTGAGACACTCAAATTGTACGTTATACACAAAAGGGCCTTGTATGCACTCAAATTCCCCTCTTTCCAACAATGTGCTGTGAATCACGGATGACAGAGCCAGCTAGTTTCACCCACATTTCTTGCAAAGAAGCCGATCTTTCCAGACCGTTGCCGTAACACTCCTCTCCATGATCACACCTGTCTGCACATATGAAGCAATGACACCTACACACACAAGTATGCACACATGCAAGTAGAGATATCCACACACAGAAAAGAAGGATGAACCACAATCCCAAACTACGATGTTACCATAGAGGTTACACAAATAAACTGGTCACTGAATAGTTATTAGGTTATTGCTTTATTAGTTGTTCTTGTGCCGCTCCTGCTCCATTACTGCTTACACTGTACTTGGGCATTCACTGGAAGAACAGTCTAGCTGTACTTGACTCCTTGACAACACATATGTTTGCAATGTGCTATCTGTCTCACTGGTACGTCGTTCTGGACAAAAGTGTCTGCGAAATGGGTTCAATGTAAATTACTTTAAGTAGCTTTATGAGACTCTATGACAAAGCTGCAAATAATCTGCATTCTCCAATGCAAGCGAACTAGGACTGACTGGTTTGTCTAAGCAAAAAAATAATTACACCGGAATCTAATCTGATTTGTGCCACTGCTAAGAAATATTTAATCTCTGACTCATCAGGCACCAAACAAGCAAAATCTCTTCTTGACAATTTCATTTATTACTTAACTACTCACGCAATGCAAATTATACGGTCCAAAAAATTGTGGGAAAGTGTGTGTGCGTTTGTGGGGAGGGGGGCAAGTAATGTAGCGAGGTAGACAACAAGGTATTTACTGTACGTCAAGGGAAATACTACTGCTTACCCATAAGCTAGCAGAGTGAGACAAAACTGGCACCCAGCAGCTTAATTGCAGTTTTAACCATGTTAAGTAATTCTTAATCACACAGAGCTGGAAAGCTACAAATCTTTGTACATTAGACAGGAATTTGTAACTGTAGCTAGTGAGAAACACAACATGTCTCTTTATTACACAGTCTAAGTGGAACTATTAAGCCTACACACCTAGTTCAGCAGAACCCCAGACAGTGAGGTTAAATTGAAGAAACACCTTTCAAGGTTTCAAGTACTAACACAGCCCAGAAGGCATCCGTCTCAAAGGTACTTTTAGGCAATTAAAAATAAAAAATAAAAAAAGTTTTGCTAGGACGTCCTCACAACATCCATTATAAGTACTCCAATTGCATCAATGTTTCCGTGGTAACCCATTCACTATTTAAAAACGACAATCTTTGCTAGTAGTAACTACCTGACTCACCATAGATTTCGCCAATATAAATATGTGATGTGTCATAGTCCGTTTCCGTGCCTGACATTTCCAGCTTGAAGTCTGGTGAGAATATGGAGGTGTCCCTCTTCATTCGAAGATTAAAATGTCTGAAATAAAAAAAATAAAACAGTTACTGGAAAATGTTCATTTTAACCATTTTTTCTGCGACATTCTAGGTAATTAACAGTTAGTCCTCATGTTTTCAGATCTTGACATACATTGATCTGAAAAGCACCTCAAGGAAAAGTGTAGGATGCACCCAACAAAAGGGCAGAAAGAATGCAAGGCAGCACTCAGAAAAACAACAATGCTTCATTTTTGGAGACGTATGGAAAACCCCGGGTTTACACATGTTATACATTGATAGCTAGTCTAGCATTGCCACATGAAAGCGTGAGCAAGACTGCAGGGCAGGACACCAGTCAAACATTTATTAAGGAAACATTGCCACAGTCAGAACGCCTTTGGGCCTGAACAGCACTGTCTCCCCTTCATGAATGAGGCTAAGCTTTATATTCCTTGTATGCAGCCCCAGGCGTGAAGTTTTCCGCCTTTGTATGTATACAGGATGGCTGGCCAACAAACAAGAAGCTCTCCCCATGGATTTAGGTCTGTTAAGCCTGAAAACAGGAAAACATATTCCAGGCTCAGTACCTTATGGTTCACATAGGTCTGTTGCAGCTGATACTTCCCAAAGTCAAGCAAAGAGCTAGATTATGTTCAGAACAATGATGTATTCCCCAGACAGCCCTGTCTGCCCCCCCCCCCCCATCTAATTCCTACTCCCCCAACACCCCAACTTCTATAATCCCAACCTCTGCATATTATCTATTAAAAGTCCTTTCATGTGCTACCTTTGCTGCCATCTTGCACTGCTGCTTCAGATTTGGGGGGATTTCCAGTGCAGATCCTCATCCAGATAATGTTTATGTGATATAGGAATAAGACCCATGAAATACTTTTTGAGTTATGCTCATAATGTAAAGTGTTTTCTTCATTCACCATTCCCAATGGTTCAGTTATGGTCTGACTTGTCTTAAAATGTATCCACTTCTAGCTCTTTACCCTTACAATGTGTCAGCAAAGTTTGAAAAAGATCCACCAAATATTGTTCGAGTTGTCACACTGGCCGGCAACCTGACTACGGCAGCTAGAGAATATAATATTATTATGTGCTTTAAGTTACATCCAAAACTAAAATCAGAGTTAAAAGGAACATCAACAAAGTAGACTTTTTAGTTTTGAAATGCCTACATATTATGAGAAAGCTAAGAAAGCTTAGTCATCATACTTCAAGCGGTGTTTGATGGCTACGGAATCAACAAATTTAAAAAAAAGTCTTTTTAAGGCTTCACTGCAGGCCTTATAGAAGATCAGTAGTCAGGAACCCGGTAAGAGAGCTAATGGGCAGCCAGCATAGTGAAGAGCAGCATGTTCAAGCAAAGGAGTATTTTGTGGAGAGACCTAGAGGCAACACTTCAAACACTGCTGTGTTCCTGATGGTTTCATCAAGTGAGTTCAAAGAATTTCAAGGAACCACATCCTTACAGGGGAGATCTGCGGCATTTCACAAATGTTAGAAAAATGCTTTGAAAATCATTCATATGCTTTATGTTGTAAAAGTGGGTCCATTACTTAAAATTCCTGAGAAATTGGGTACAGTTTCATATTGTTTAAAATACATTTTCTTGCTTTCTATATTTTTAAAACAATACTATCCATATAAAATTGCCTGAAGTCACTAAATGTCATTTTACTGAAAGCTACACAATTTACACGTGGCTCTATAAATAGCTGTGTCACATGTCATGTTTTAGCCCTGTTGGAAATTCTGCGTCCTTGTGCTCAGCAACTGGAATTAGAGTGTGACAGAATAAATCAGTTTGTGGGGCAAACAGCCAAAACCGGACTTTGGATTTAAATTTTAAGGCTCTTTGTAAGGTTCTCAGATTTAAATTAAGGCTTAATTACTGCAGAGGGAAACCTGGTATTAAGCATCATCTGTGTGGCCAGGTGTTCCAACAATCACATTATGCCAATTCACTGTTTAGCCTTGACACGGAATGCTATTCACTGGTCTCCCCTGAGGGAACACACTCAATTCCTGGACAGCACTTCACCTTGAGAAACCAGCTGGAGCTTACCGTCCAATCAAGATCACGACACATACCAAAGGGAAGTGGTGGTCCTTCTTGTAAACACTGTTTTGTTTGCTAATCCACCCAATATTCAGATATTTATAATTATTTTGGGTGCTGATTTTGCAGGAAGGGATGTCCCTGTAGGCACCAATAGGCACCAATAGGCACATAGCTTTAAACTATAAAAATCAACGTTAATGGCACCAAAAATATGTGCTTTCAATTTCAAAACATTAGTCAGTTCATAAAAGAATGCAGGACCCCAGACAAGTCCCTTGAGTTGCCATGATGCTGGAAGCCGATTAGGTAACAATGAATGCTGAACCTGCTACATTACTATAATCAGCCACCCTCCCCAGAAACAGAAACATCCACATACAGAAAATGACCATTATATTCAAGTTTCAAGGTAGGGTGGCTGATTGTGTTGCAGTTACGGACATCAACAAGGTGATCATTAAATCAAGACCCAGGAAGGGTTCATAAAATTTTATCAGTATCAAAGTCCTTAACCTGAACTGCATCTGCAGTAAAATCGGAAACAATAATGCAAGTTGTGGCCCAGCTGTCCAGAGTGTAGAAGTACACTGGCAAGAACACATTGCAACACATTAGACGGCAACAGATCCAAAAACGGCAAAATTGGCACACAATTAGAAGAAAATTATTTTTGTATTGCATAGCTAATACACAACCCTTATCTTTGGACATAGGCTTGGCCACAAACTTCAAATGCTGATGATATTACTATAAAGAGCACTGGTCTGAGAAGTTTGCAGATTAATATAAACATTATGCATAATGTTTATATATGCATGTTTGTTTCCAGTCAAAGGTACTTTAAAAACTGTTTGGATAAAGCATGATAATGCTGTGGAGTTAATAACCCACCAAACCGCATTGCATTCAGGGGCATTGTTCTGTACATATGGAATTTTGGGCTGGCAGTGAGCCTGTCCAAAAGTCAAACAGGGTTTCATTATGACAATTTGAGCCAATTTGGAAACAAATAATCCAGAACACTTGCAGGTTATAGAGTTTCCAAATGTCCAAACAAGGGATGGGCCTAGACACAGGCTACGGCACAGCGGCTCCACTAGCAGCGCTCAAAGTGCTAAATGGTTGGCAGATCCACCCCCCATATGTAGAGCGGTATTTTTAGCATAATGACAGCTAGCGAACAGCTCCATCTGCAGAGAGTGCCTACTGTCAGCTCCAGCAAATCAGGCGCGGCAGACGGGATCATGCTTGATACTAGTGAGGAGATGCTATTCCAGAAGTAGGGGGCAGGAGCACCGACTGAGGCGGGTGTCACTTTTGCCATTATTAAACACCTGATAATCTGAAGGATGGTTCAAAATGCAGATGTAGCCCTGCTGTGGCAGCTTTGAGCAATGTACTTAACTGGGAGAGCCCTAGATGACAGCCAACCACAACCACAATGTCACCTGGCCTGAGACCTATGGAGGTCCTGGGGCAGGTGGCTTCTACAGGATTAACCCCTAAAATAAGGCTCTGAGCCAGTGGTGTAAACACAGCCACTTTTAGCTCAAAGGACAATTGACAAAACTAACAAGACAATTTCTTCCAGTCTATCAGTCCATCATGGCACTTCTGCTCACATTACATATAGTTCTGATTTGGGATTTGGAAGACGCCAAATATTTTCTATACATTCAGACTGTTACATGCTCAACCGTGTGTTGCCAGTTCTAGCCATGTCAAAAAAATAAAAAAACTTTACACATACTGCACTGGATGTCACTTGCTGAGAAGGGCAACCGTATGAGAAGCTTGCTTGTTTGAATCCTGGCTGTTTTGTCCCCCTCCCCCACACTGCCGTACTGTAACACCTGCGCCGAACATCTGAACACAGAATGTTGGAACTGGCAGTGTGATGTACAACCCCGGCCAAACTGCCAGCCAGATGGTCTAACACAGGCCTCACCTGCCCCGAGAGAGATGCTTGGATTTCAAAGGGTTTAACGGCCGACATTTCATCTGGATATACCTCTTAGCTGGAGGACCAGAAAGCAAAAGCAAACACTCAGAAAGAGTCCAGTGAAGGGACATAAACAGCAGTCATTTAGAAAAAGACCAACAACATTCACTTTGTCATTTACTCGAAAGCTTTGGGCACAAGGGCGGGAACAACCCAGGACGGGGCGGCAAGCCAACGCAGGGCACACTTTATCATAATTAGTATAAAAGCTGTCTCTCCAAATTGTTTGGGCCAAAACGATAAAACCCCCACATATCCAGACCATGCAAATTCATAGAAATTTGTCAAACAGTAAAATTCGACAAGATGAGGTGGAATAAAACAGAGATCAGTTCCCCCCATAGGCACGATCTTGTGTACACTGAGGGCCTGTGTTAGCCCCCCCCTTATCGGAGGCTAGATAATTGGTGCTTAAAATAACTCCAGCTGTTCCTGAGGACAGGGACTACACCGCTGATAATTAACCTTGCCAATGTGGAGGGCCGCTTCCTGGCTCATTCACTGCAGCGGCTGCCCGAGGTGCTCAGTGCAGTACTGGGCTGCTGGCTACTTGCTGTGTATGTATGTGTGTGATTTGCGGGAAACTGTGTTCCCAGTGGCTCAAGAGGCTGCACTGATGCTGAATCACGTAACAGGCGGACAGTGACACGGCACTTTAAAGGGTACCGTTTGACTTCTCCTCCTCCCACCAGTTCATCCTTATTTTTTCTATCTGCAAAAAAATCCACAAGTCACAGTGAATGTGTATACCAGAACACATAGTGCAGTGCAGGCATGCTTAAACAAGCAAGACCACTCAGGATGCACGTAACATCACATGAAGACTGCTCTCAGCCCATTATCACATGAGGGGAAAAAGCTCTCAGCCAATTCAACACAGCCACCAACAGAAATGACTCACAAGCAAGGGCCTGAGCAAAGGAGGAGGAGGACAGACTGTCTGACCATCATATGGATCCATTAA